ATTAATTGAATTTTCAAAAAAAAAAATTTATCATGATGTGAATATATTCCAATATGTGCTAAAGAGTATCTTTATATTAATTGTTATTATTATTATAAAACAGGTTCTTACCGTCAAAAATGATTCATTTCTTGTATGCAGCTATATTTTTGATTTCGTAACATAAATTTGATATGTTAATTATTAGCAGCCTTGCAAGTAGCGTATAAAAGCATTTAGTTTAGCGCTCGATTTTCATACCACTGTGTAGATTAGGAAAGTAATATGCGCGGCGTACCTAAAAACGTACCTTTTTTATATTAAGGAGATTGTGCTCATTAATTATACATGGTGTATTAATGAAATGATAACAAATTACTGAAATTGAAGTGCACATGCTAAAAAAGTTAAATTTCGACCATTATGATTCGTGATTTTAACTGAACTGAAGAAATTCTAAATAATCATTTTAATACCAAATTTATAATTGTTAGTTGTTAGTGGATTTTAAAATTAAAACTTGCTTAGATAATTGTTGTATCACGTGGTGACCCCCACGGTCGCTTCACTATAGCGTCTGTATAGTATATACGTCACTATAGCGTCTGTATAGCGTCTGTAGCGTCTTCGACGCTACAGGGGGAGCCGCGCACTTCGTGCGCGGCGGGTCATACAACGTATGACAAGATAATTGCATGTATTATATTTAATGTTTTTAGGCTAAGTGTACCGAGCAAAAATAACGTAACATTATATTATTTGATTTGGAATATGTCGCCTCTTCGATGCGCCGCGCACATTATCATTTGAGTTTTAACAAATCTAGACGAGGAGTATTATTCGTCAAATTAAACAATAAACTTTTGGTCATAACAATTACCGATCATTAAGCTGAATCGAACTTGAATTAATTTGTTTACTTTTTGATAAATGTCCAAGTTTATGTGAGAGTATCTTTTTGCATATACATTACTTGGAGGACTTCGTCGCTTCGACGCGCCGCGCAAACTATCATTCTTTTTTCGCTCTGTTAATTCTCAGATAGATTAGATTAGATTAGATTAAGAATAATGACATAAACATCATCACTAGTTTTAAACATTCTTTCTGATTTCCTCATTATCAGAACTGTGAACATTTCACAGCCTTCGTCATTAAAAAACAAACAAATTCTATAACTAACATAATTGTCATAATTTATTTACATATACAAAAGTTTAAAAAGTTAAAAACCGTTAATTTAAAAATAAATAAATAAAAACAAATTCATGAAATATTTATTCCCTTTCTCTTGGCAACACGAGGATTTTTATATAAATATTGGACTTGTTGCTTCTTCTTTTCGATACGATTTACACCCTCTATTTTTGCTAAAACTATATTTGACACTTCCCAAAAGTTGCCTGTGTCTACTAAATTATTAGTCTTTTTAAATTCTTCTAGATTAATTTTAAAATCAATAACAGACACTGAATTTCTAACAAAAGATGGCAATTTATTCCAAAAGCTGATAACACGCTCTGATAAAAAATTATTAGACAAGGTTTTAATATTTCTATCAATATTGTTAGATTTAGTGCTAACAATTTTATTTCCCGATCTACTTAAATTGAAAATATCTTTTCCATACTCAACCAATCCATTTACAATTTTGTAGGCTTCAATCAAATCTCCTCTAACCCGTCTCTCTGCGAGTGTTGTAATCTGTAAGGCATCCAACCTTTCACTGTGAGGAAGTGTTCCAATATCATCAATAAGGCGTGTGAACCTTCTCTGGACATTTTCCAGTTCAATGATAGTAGCCCAATTCCCATGGCAGGCTGGTGGAGACCACAACTGAGCACAATACTCCAAGTGGGGTCTTATTATAGTTTTATAAACATTTCTCATAACATTAATTTCTCTTATAATGAGATTCCTTGTAACCCATGCAATCATACTGTTTGCTTTACTAATACAACTTTTAATATGTTTCGACCATTTCAAATCTGAAGAAGTTAAAACTCCAAGATCTTTCTCTGCTTCAATACATTCAAGTGTAACACCACTAAATACATATTCTTGAAGAGGATTCTCATTAAATGGAACATGCATTATTTTGCATTTGCTAGGATTAAACTTTAACAGCCACACATTCTGCCAGTTTTGCAAGCTTTCTAACATATTGAAAGTGCTTTCAGTGTCATTGGCATCCATAATAACTTTAAGATCATCTGCAAACAGTTTTGATATACCATTAATACAATCAGGCAAGTCATTGATAAAAATGACAAACAATAAAGGACCTGAGCAACGATCTGGAAGGGTTGACATCGTCAATCAAATACAGTACACATTATATACAATATACATTGAAGGGTTTTCGGTCACTTAAAAGTCCTCGATCGAGTATAATACCAACGCCAAAATCGAAAAGCAGCTAAGATTTCAGAAATCAATGGAAAAAGTGTCAAACAGTATTATATATACAATAAAGTAATTCAAGTGTTGCAATTGGCAGAGCACAATACAGAGGTAACGGAAATTTTCCACTGTAACCAATATTATATAATATTAAATATCAACAATCAGATATATACACATCTACTCCATCATAGGGGCAGGGATGAGGTTATAAGAGACTTCTGATTTTTTTCCTCTGTACCCTCGAAGAGCTGTGAGTGTGGTTCTTAACATATCGAATCTTATTCTTGTCCTTACATGTCTTACCACATCGCAATACCTCTCTTTTCTTTTCCTGGCGATGAGGTCTGCCACTCTATTTAGAAACCGCTTACATTCTTTCAGAAATACAAAGGGAGGGTTGTGTTAATTCATTGAACCATACTATTAAGACTGAATTACTATTATCTCATTTTGAATTCGATCCCTTTAATATTTTACCATAATGATGTATTACTAATACTTGATATCACGCCTGCATAATTACATAAATATTTCGGGCATGACTGAAGGTACTTATTTAGAGTTCTAAAAATTTGAAAAGAACTATGTGAAACTATTATGAATGAGGTATCCCCATCCACACAAAGGCAAATAGAACTCCTCAGCGAAAAAGGAGCATCCATTTGGTTATCCACACTCCCTCTAAAAGCATGTGGGTATGTCCTCAACAAACAAGAGTTCTTTGATGCCCTCTCACTCAGATATAATCTTACACTGTCTACAGCTAACAGAAGTCCCCTATGTGTATGTGGAAAACAAAACCATATCAACCATACTTTAACCTGAAAAATCGGAGGCTACGTTTCACTTAGACACAATTCACTCAGAGATACAATAGCTGAACTCCTAACCACTGTTTGCAAAGACGTTGAAACAGAACCTCAGCTTCTCTCCGTTCCTCCCACACTTAAACTATCAAATGGAACAAATAGACAAGATGGTGCAAGACTGGACATCAGTGCGAGATCGTTCTGGTCGCCACTGGACAGGGCATTCACAGATGTAAGGGTACTTCACCCTCAAGCCCAGTCCAACAGTGACAAGAGCATCTCGCAGATGTACCAATCTCACGAGAATAACAAAAAACGTGAGTACAATGACAGAGTCCTCAATGTAGAAAAGGCTACCTTCACACCACTGGTGTTCAGTACGTTAAATATCAAATTGATTTATTGTAAACTTGTTTAATCTGTAATAAATGGCATAAAATTGAAATTTTTGTTTAACTGAAATTTTTGTTTAACTGAGTACTACAGGAGGAATGGCAGTTGAGGCTTCTCAGTTCCTAAAACATCTTGCTGAAAAGATCAGCCTTAAGAAAGGCCAACGGTATTGTGATGTGATTTCATTTGTCAGACGCAGACTGCGCTTTGATCTACTCAGAACCTGTATAATATCTATCAGGGGATACAGAGGTACCAGAACTCTTCCACCCACGGCAATACGTGATTTGGACCTTAACCTGATCAACACTCCTAAACCCTAAAAGGTCATGGAGTGCTTGTTAGATGGGGGTCTAAACTGCTTTTTGTTGTGATGTGAATTTGTTATATATTATTGCAAAGGGTTTTTATTTTTACCTCAGTTTTTAAAATTTGTACCATTTTTAAAGAATTTTTATATAGGGTCATTGCTATATTATGTGTATATTGTTTGAATAACTTATGTTTACTATTTGTATTCTTAACAAGGTCTTTCACATATCACGTGAGCATAATTTGTCAAATTGTAGCCCCTCCCCCTCTGTTATCAGTTTTACACACAGCTATTTTGTTTTATTTTTATTAATATGTGAACTACACCTAAGAATTATTATATTGAAAATTGCAGCTGTCATTTTAATGAAAGCTGCAACCCTATTCCATCATGTTAATCTTATGATTGTTGACATTATTCATGGCATACTGCACCTACAGTGCTTGGGTATTTCGAGCAGAAATTGATATTTTTTTCGGAACATTGTTAATATTTCAAATAATATTGGTTGAAATGGACCACTTCCACTACCTTTAAAAAATCATAAATCAAATCAAATAATAAGGCCACAAACATCACCACACGTCACCCAAAATAGTTCTACAAAGATTTATAAATTGCTTTGACAATTGCAATACCTGATTTGATTGAATATGTATATTGTTTGAATGGCCTTTTCCTGCATTTAATTGGAAGTATAGTTAAGAACAGAATTGTAATTCCTGATATTCAAATACGGATTATCTTACAACTCTTGTACAAATATCAATATGGCTACAATATAAATGTTTGCTTTAACAAGGCTAAAGTTGAAGGCGTTCTAAGGAACATTGGCCATTTTTATGGATCTACCTATTTTGTATTAATTTACAGATGCCACGGAGAAGCTGAACCTGTTCTCAGCATAATAAATTAACAATTGATTATTACATACGATTTTCATGAGTTGTTTTGTCTAAAATGCTGCTTTTGATTTAGAGCTGCCTTGCAATGTATGCAAGTAACTTGATTTTGCTGGTAGCTGCGTTGTATTATTTAGAAATTTGGTTATTAATTGCCATGCTTCAGGCCAATCTGTGATGTGAGATGTAACCCCAAATACTTTTAGGTAATATGACATCAAGTTTACCGACTCTACAAAATCTCATCCGCAGAGATGCTGAATCGTATAAAGACGATTTTGCAGTTCAGTATGAGTACCTCAAATCAAAGATCACCCTCTTTTTTGTGTCACCATCATCTGAGCTCAATGATGAAATATCAGAGCTGATCATGTTTGTTTCACACTGTTTGAAATGTTACCCCATCTATCACGAGGAGTTTCCCAAGATGTTGGAGGACCTTATCAGGAAACATAACAGTATCCTGCCTTCTGAGTTAAGATTGGTCATTTGCAAATCTCTGATTATACTGAGAAACAGAGATTTATACCAACCTGTGCAATTGATGAAACTATTCTTTGAACTTTTGGGTTGTCCAGATAAAATACTGCGTGAAATGTTGAAACTCCATATTATAACAGATATACGAAATATCAATCTTAAGAACAGTAATAATAAGATGAATAGAGCAATCCAGGCTTTCATTCATACTATGTTGTTTAAAGCCTCTCCAGTCGCTGCTAAAATCGCAATCCAAATAATGATTGAGCTCTACAAAAAACATGTTTGGAATGACGCCAAAACAGTCAACATAATTGCAGGTTTGTCATTCATAACATTTTTTGATTTTTAAAATTTCAATTACCAATTTCGAAATTGAACACAATATTTTGATAAGGAAAGTTGTAACTAATCTTAATTGTCCTCAGATGGGTGTCTTTCGACCAACAACAAGATAATGGTTGCAGCTCTCTCCTTTTTCCTGTCAAATGACCCTAAGAACAACGAAGACGACGGTAATTCTTCAGAGGAGGAGAACAAGAAAGAGAAGTCTAAGAAAATCAGCACTATGGTCCGAGCTGCTGGGGTATGTTGTGCTTCTTTATGAGATGTGGAATTTTATAGAATTGTTGAGCTAAATCGCTTCACAATATTTAACTGCCATTGAAAAAAGTGCAAACTGCAAACTGCAGAGTGCAGTGAAGTAAAATTGATATTGTGACCTTCAAATATAATAACGATATTCAACAATTAATTTCTTAACCTTTGTAATAAATTTTAATTTAATTTTGTTTTGTTAGATAACAAAGAAGGCTAAAAATAAGATGAAGAAGCTTGAAAGGGCACGTTTAATTCTTAGAAAGGAAGTTAAAAAGAAGAGAGCACCAGAGGGATCATTCCTAGCTATTCATCTTCTTAATGATGCTCAGGTTTGTGTGCTGTTTTTAATATTTAGTTGTAGGAGTACCAAGGTGCGTCTGATCTGTTAATTGGCAGTTAATTGACAGCTAATTGATCTGTTAATTGGCAGCTAATTGACATGGACATTTGTGTTCAGGTGCATTATAAATAAATCTACTCAGTCTTTAACCTTAATTTTAGTGTTATTTTTGGCCAGACATTTTCCGAGAAACTCTTTTACCTTAATGTTAATATAATTTTTTCCAGACGTTTTCCGAGAAAAATGTTTACCTTAATGTTAATGTTACTTTTGCCAGACGTTTTCCGAGAAACTCTACAAATAGCTAGGGCGTCTAAACGACAAGTTTGAGATAAAGCTCTTTTACCTTAATGTTAATGTTATTTTTGCCAGACGTTTTCCGAGAAACTCTACAAAGAGCTAGGGCGTCTAAACGACAAGTTCGAGATAAAGCTGATGGTGATGCAGCTTATAGCTAGAGTTGTGGGAATCCATCAACTTTTCTTGTTCAACTTCTACCCCTATCTACAGAAGTGAGTTGTCATTGTTACCTATCAAATTACTGCCGTTGTTGACATTAGTGACTGAATATCAGTCAGGGTAGAAAAGATTCAAATTAAAATATTCAAATTAAAATATTCAAATTAAAATATTCAAATTAAAATATTCAAATTAAAATATTCAAATTAAAATATTCAAATTAAAATATTCAAATTAAAATATTCAAATTAAAATATTCAAATTAAATATTCGCTTTAATTCACAATTTACCAGGTATCTGAGTCACTCCCAAGTGCACTGCACTAAGATCCTGGCTGCTGCTGCCCAAGCTTCTCATGCATTGTGCCCCCCTGATGTCATCGAGCCGCTCTTAAAACACATAGCTAATACTTTCATATCAGGTGAGGAATTTAATTCTCCCTTTGAATCAATCAAGCTAGATGATTTGTTGCAAATACTGAGATCAATTTACAGGCTATCGTCAAACATGTTGCAAGGCGTCATCTTCAGTGACATAAGCCTCAAATTATTCGTTATATAGTAGTGTTGAAAGTATTAAAACTTTCATATCAGGTACTTGATTTCTTGGTGTAGCTAACACCTTTACACCTTATTGATGTAGCTAACACCTTTAATGTTTATATTACATATCAAATACACTTCTCAATTATTAAATCAATACCTGCCAAATATGCTTCTATGGTTTTGGATCTGTAGTCTATTCTCAACTTCACAAAGATGAATATTCCACCGATTTCGAATCTCTCAAAAAACTGCATCAAATCACTAAGTTAAATATTAGCGACAAGAGAAACGCCATTGTAGGACGTGAGAAGAGTGAGGGCTCCTCAAACTACATTAAATTAATTCCTTCTGTAACGTCCTCAATAAATGTAATAGATTTGTAGTATTGTAATTTTAAAACCTTTCAGACCATCAGACAAACGAGGTGATGGCAGTGGGGATAAACTCAGTCAGGGAGATATGTTTCAGATGTCCTCTTGCTATGGAGAAGGACTTACTTCAGGTTAGGATGGCCCTAAGTCATCTTCATCAGCTTTCAAATTTTCAGGCAGTATAACGATGTTACCACTTTACTGATTCATCTTCATAATTATCAACAATGTTAGCAATGTTAACAATGTTAACAATGTTAACAATGTTAGCAATGTTAACAATGTTAACAATGTTAACAATGTTAGCAATGTTAACAATGTTTCAAGTTATCACATGGCCTGTCCTCAGGATTTAGCTCAATACAAGAAGCACACGGATAAGGGTGTCAGTATGGCTGCAAGATCTCTTATCTCACTTTTCAGGACCATCAACAGAACAATGCTTACTAAAGTTGATCAGGTTAATAATAATAATAACGCTTTATTTGTATACCGCTTAGGCCGTATAAGCGACCAAAGTTCAAAAAATGGGGTTGATACTGGCCAGGTTGGTGAATGGTTATTATTATAGTTTCGTCGTTTTCCAACAATTTGAATAGTCAGTGTTTCTTTTATAATGTGATACATGACTAAATGTTATTTATTAGCCTTGAACAACAATTATTGTTGATTATTGTTAATTATTGTTAATTATTGTTAATTATTGTTAATTATTGTTAAGTATTGTTAATTATTGTTAATTATTGTTAATTGCATGTTTCTGTAAACCTCCACATTACAGGGTAAGCCCGGAGAGAACTGGGTAGAAGATGGACCATCAAACTATGGAGCCTCTAAAGCCCTCGAGGCTATTCCTGGTTAGATAATGCTGAATTTCCTCTTATCTTTCTTGAATTTCTTATGGGGGGTATGCAACGACCATTAATGTCAGTAGATGGAATTTTGTCAAAACTGACATTGTCATTAATGGTCATTAATGGTCATTAATGGTCATTAATGGTCATTAAATAATTGAAATTCTGAACTATCTTGGAAGCAACATGTCCAAGAAATTTACAATTATGATCACTTTGTATCACTTCTATAAAGTTTCTCACAGCCCCCTACATCGATTGCCAGAGTCTCGTTTGAGAAAACGAATTAATATTCGCCTAATAGAGGCTCGGACCTCGGTTTCGTAATGAGTGCCAAGCACCATTCTGTTATACGTTGGTAACTTGGCTTGTTTGCATTTGACTTAGTATAAATGCTTGTTTGCAGTTGACTTAGTATAAATGCTTGTTTACAGTTGACTTAGTATAAATGCTTGTTTGCAGTTGACTTAGTATACATGCTTGTTTGCAGTTTGCGTGGATTTGAATTGTATTGATTTCCTTTATTTGTGTTGATTGCTTTTGATAATTTGGATTTTCAATACCTCCTCACAGTACCTTCTATGCCATCGTAAGACGATATTTGGAAATAAAAGTCGGAGATCGAAATTTTTTGGTACCGGCTGTTTCGAGGGTTCTGTGCCATACCAACCGGGCTGCAAAAATTCTTCTAAGCCCTGTCAACGTCGAACAATTCGAAAGGGTCATTAAGTGCTACCTTTGTTCCAAAAAATGCTAAACGTCCCCTTCGTTGCCTCGGTACCATCTTATCAATGAGTGTCTCTGCTTCAAAAAAGGGCAACTGCAGATCTAGACGAATTCCTGCCGCATCAATTTGTCCCTATCACGATGACAGTGCTCGATTTTGGGTCAAAACTTTAAACTGCCAAAGGCAGAGTATTGAACTGTAAACGAATTGTTCTATCTAATCCTAGGAAAAGATCAGCTTTTTTGTTGTCCGATTCAGACTGATGACGATGTATTTCATGAAGTGCTAAAGTTGAATAAGTTCATCTACTGTGTAATTACTATATAATCGACTAGCATAATGATTTGGCTAAAATATAAATCTTGATATGATATAAGAACGGGAACGAAGTATTTAATTTTAATACCCGTGTTATTATTATTTTATTATTGATTGTTATTTTACTATTGATACGATCTGATACTCCTAAATTGCCCTTTGAATTATTATTATTGATAACTATAAGTCACCAACTGTTATCTGGTTTAAATCCCGTGGCCGCAAAATTTGTTCTTCATTACATTCGAACTTAATAAATGTAATCCCTAACTCACTCTGGAATCCACTCAAGTGATATTCTGGAAGGTCTGCCTAACCACGGAAGATTCTATTCTAAGTTTTCTCTTTCGAATCTCTAATTGTAAATGTAAAATAATAACATATACTTGTAGTTAGTTAACTTAAGGTAGGGTCTAAGTGATGCAGGCGTCCGTCCTTTTCGCTCTAAGAAGTGCCGGAAAAAACATGACCATTAATGTCAGTAGATGAAATTTTGACAAAACTGACATTGTCATTAATGGTCATTAATGGTCATTAATGGTCATTAATGGTCATTAATGGTCATTAATAGTCGTTGCATACCCCCCTTTCTTATCGAGTCATGGACTTAGTCGATAGCTTGATTAATGTACGATATGACTATAAAAGTTGTAGATTCATTCACTGCCACAATCTTGGTTAGGCGACCACCGTTGTACTATGATTTTAAAATAATACATTACTTCAAAATCGAGCGTTAATGTTTGTTGTCACTAATTCCCATCTTTATTTGTCAGGAATTGAGTTCCTCAACTCCTCGTCCGACGAAGAAGGAGAAGAAGAAGAAGGAGAAGAAACCGCAGAACCTGGAGAAAAACGGAAACGTCTCTCCTCCACCTCCTCCAACAATGCCAAGAAGAGGCGGCGAACTGCTTCAGAGAATAATGGTGTTGCTCGCAAGCGTCAACGTACAAACTCTTCCTCTCGAGGACGAAGAAACTCTACCTCTAGGGGCAGAACTCTCTCTGAAACTTCTATAACCAGTAGCAAGGTTAATAACTTGCACTTTATACTATTTAAATCTGTAATGGATGTTCAACTCATCGTTACTAGTTCTTATTTTAACAATATTTTGCGATAGAAGAGTAGAGGAGTCTGGCATGTTGGTTTCTCCGGTTATAAAAAATCCGGAAAAGCTCTCCGCCGGTAATAGTACCTTTTGGAATGTTTTCCTACTAGCCTAAATTATTTAATTATCATTTATTTAAGGTTAAATGATGATACCTTGTTTCAGATAAAGAGAACAGCTCAAGAATGGATGACAGAGAAGATCCTGACAGACGAGGATTACCAGAGAATAGAGGAGAAGAGATTAGCTTGGCTGATGCAAGGTTAGTACGCCGTGTGTACGTTATCATTAAGGAGTCATGAATAAAACTGAACCAATGTTTTCAGAACCATCAAATGTTTGCAAAAAAATGACAAAATGTGAAACATTTTCACACATTGAAATCGAGTGACAAATTGAGCAAGGTTCACCGTTCAATGTTCTAACTTCTGTTCTATATTTGGGTCAATTGCCAATAATCAACAGTTATGAATTATGATGTTACACATATCAAACAAACTTCTCAAATGTACAAATGATCAGGTAAACAACCTGCGAAAAGGAAAACGACAGGCTTCTCCAGAACGAGCTGAAGACGGAGAAATCTTGAATCCCTCCAACATCGAACACATCAACAAACACATGAAGCAAACCAAGGAAGAGCGACTTCAACAGGTTAGAGAAGGTAGACCTGACAAGAAGAAGTTTGGAGTGAAGAAAGCGAAGATGGATGAACACGCTAGTACCACCAATGCTGATAAGAGGAAGATGAAGCCGTTTATGATGGTGGTTCATAAGAGGAGTGTTAGGGAGAGGACCAGGAAAGGTTTTGCTGAGAAACAGAGGGATTTGAGGAAAAAAGCTGCTGAGGGCTGGACGGTATAATCACTAAAAAAATGTTAACATTTTTAGTGATTTGAAGTTTCTGTGTGTAGGTTTAGTACTTAAAGTATACTGACTAAGTTAAGTTATCAATGATCGGGATTCTGTTTTGAATGTAATTTTATCTTTTACTTTAACTTATTCAAACTTTTATCAAGTTAACAATTTGTGTTTTATTACCTAGTTTACAACAAATTCTCCCAAATTTCTTCCTGGTACAATGTACATTGTACATTCATCAATCATAAACATGGATGTCAGACCCTGAAAAGTAATTTGATATTATATGTTTATGAAATACACAGTACTGATCATCTGGAATATTATTTAAAATGTCAAATTTCGAATGATTTTACGTTTTCGCAGTCTTGGCCATTTATTTTTTAGAATTTTGATCCTCTCGAGTGTTACGTATTTATACTTTCAAAATTAATTAATTAATTAAATCAAATTAATTGATTAACGTATAATTTGCAGATAAGTGGTTCATGTCAAGACGGAGTTTAAGATCCCGAGCAGTTCCTGATAAAGTAAACAATTATGTCTTTGGTAGTTTGAAGCCAATTAAAAAGGAGATAAAGGCAGAGTTTTCCGAAGAGTTGACAAAAACCGCTGATGGTTTTGTTTGTCCACCTTGTGAAGCCTATTTTTTGTGCGAGGATTCATTTTTAGAACACATTACAGAAAATCACACTGTCATGCCCCCTCAAAATCATAATTCTGATCAACCCTTGAGTTCCTCTAAATTGGAAGAAACGGGAAGTTCCCCAGAAACAACTCCCAAAGAGAAAAGTTTTCAATGTCAAGTATGCTTAATCTCATTTAATGAACAATCTCAACTTACAAAACATCAGTGGACCCACACCACGCCCACAGATAAACCATTTAAGTGTGAGCAGTGCAATTCTGTCTTCTCCTTCGGATACAACCTTGTTAGACATCAGCGGCTCCACTCGGGTAAGAAACATTACAAGTGTAAAGAATGCCCTTCAGCTTTCGTTAGGAAAACTAGTCTGAAAGAACACGAGAGAACTCACACGGGAGAGAGACCCTACAAATGTGAATTATGTTCTTATGCCTCGTCTCAAAGTGGAAGTTTGGTCAGACATATGCGTCTTCATAGTGGTGAGAAACCCTTTAAATGTGAGAACTGCGCGTATGCTTCACGTTCTAATTCTAACTTGAGAAGACATCAGCATACTCATTCTCACGAGAATGTGAAGAATCCTGATAGATAAAAGCGTGTTTTCATCATTTCGAGGGAGTAAATTTAGAATTTCAATCAGAGCAGCATTTTTATAATATTTAATTCATAAGACAAGTTTTACCAATTCCGTGAAAATACTGACTATAGATTTTATCAGTTGTTGAAATCTTTCGATCGGTTCTATCATGTATCGTAAAACAATCATTTTTCATCAACCAAAAGCAATCTTGAATCATTTTAGGAGCATGTTTGTACAGAGTTAGTACAGAGTTTGTACAGAGTAGCCGATATTTTGACCTCTATTTTAGGATAACTATTTTAGTCTTATCTGGTGTTTAATCTTTGCATATTATGTTTATCGTCAATTACTAAAGTAGTTTTCTGGCTTTAGTATTGAGTATTGACGATATATTTTCAAGCATAAGTTACTTTTCTTAACTTAGTATTCATGTTATTTTCTGGGATGACTAGTTTAAACACTGCTGAGTATAAGTTTTATCTTAATAGCGGTGTTATTAAATTTCAATTTATTATTATTAGGATCTAATGTTCACGTTCAGACTCTTGATAATGAACTAATTTTGTAATGATTTTTGACTCACGTTTTTCGATTTAATGATGTAAATTAATGATTTAAATTTTTTACATTTTCAATTTTTGATTGAAATCTTTTTAGAACGAGAGTATGATGTAGTTACAGTTACCTGAAATAAGCAGTTTCCTTTGGTTGTATTTACAGTTCTAATTATTAAAAGTTTGAACACTTAGCATCTATGTTAGGACCTCTTGCGCTCTATTATGACTCTGTAATAAATCATATAAATCCTTCCTTATAGCTGATGACAGTAGCTGATCCAGAGCCTGTCGGCCCAGACTTTAAAGAAACGGTACAACTGCAGTTAGACTCGTTCAAGGAAAACACTGACGATGAGGTGAACACGAGAAACATAATTTTCTCGTTTATTAGTGCTGTCTACAATCTTGTATCATCTTTGAATTCAAATTTCGTCAAAAACCTTTTCATATATTAGGACGCAATGAAACTACCGGACCACGATGTATGGGGACTTGCCACCCCATGGCAACATTAAAATATATCGACTCCCCATATCCAAAAAATTTTTAATTTCCTACATTCTCAATTTTTTCGTTTTCTGTGGCCCACTCGCTTCGCTCGCATAAAAAGTCTTTGTATTCGCGCGGTTCAAAGATTTTTCATGGCGGATTCCAGATTCTCAATTTTACTTTTTTAGGGCCCGGAATTCTTTTTAATAGATAGTCCTAGGTTACTTTTGGGGGCGAAGCCCCCGAAAATTTTGGAAATTTAAACTAGATTTGGCCTCCTGGAACGAATCTGACAATGGAGAACGATTTTAGCATACTTTTTTCTGATTTCAATTTTTATTGGGATAAATTGTCTGGATTCTAGAATCCCTAAACACTTGGCTTAACTAAAGCACGAAATAGGAGACAGCATGAAGTATCAAGAGTTTATAATTTTGGCAAAAATGTTTTCTCATCTACTACCATCACTTTCTGCTTTCAAGCTATAAACTAATCAGGGACGTAGCCAGGATTTTTCTTTGAGGGGGGCTGTCGGCGAGCGAAGCGAGCCGACGCGTCCAAACCAGCTTCGCAGCGAGCGAAGCGAGCAAGCTGTGGCAGGGGTCTGGGGGCGCAGCCCCCAGCGGGGTCCAGGGGCGGAGCCCCCCGGAAATTTTTTGCGAAACAGGGTGTTTAAGACGACATTTGGCATTAAAGAAATTTGTAGGACAGCAATAAACTGGGATTGAAAAGAATCAAGTACTCACGTAAATATGGTAACTTCACAACAGCAATCTGCATTCTCCAATCAGAATTTACGACTTACTCAGGCCTCATCGTCTTAAGATTTTTACATTTCCTACGGTCTAGGGGACACTATTGACTATTTATAGAAGTCTTCTAGAATGTTTGCTTGGATTTTATGACAGATATTTACTAATCCACAGTTCAAATCTTTGACTGACTGCAGTCATAAACACAGCCCAGTTACCAGGCGACCATGGGGACTAGGGGGCTTATCTTTTTTCTGGGGTTCGATTTTTTCCGGGGGGGCTGCCGCCCCCCTTGCCCCCCCCCCCCCCCCTGTCTATGTGCCTGAAACTAATACAGGGTTAAGGGAATTTGGAGAAGGAAGCAAGTATGAGACCAAATATTCAAGAAGTGGTTAGTGGTTACTTGATGCTTAGTGGTTACTTGATGCACAGATTTTGTAGCTAATAGCAACAAACTTTGGTCTGTGAAACGAAATTTGATAGACTGGATCAGTGGATCCCTGACTGAGGACATTTAAATAACGGACCAGCAACTTTTAGTCTGCTCTTTCACTTAAATTCCTACTGAAATATTATCGAAAATTCTCAGAGTTGGCTCTCGAATTTCCTACTTTTTGTCAAAAATTTCCTACTTTTAAAAATTTCCTACATTCTTAGAATGCGAGAATGCGGGTTTTTGGATATGGGATCGACTCTGTTACATCGTTTCCTGTTAATATAAAACTCCGTTACAAAATGAACTGGGACATAATATGCGGTTGCAGAGTTCTAAGACGAAAATTTCAATGTTGGATGTTACCATGACGACGGTTATCATGACGACGGTTACCATGACCACAACTACCCACAGGTACTCCGATTTCCCAGCTGTTTTGAAGCTCACGAACAGAGTTACATTATTGAGGAGGCAAAGAAAATGGGACTGAACGGAAAAAGTATTGGGAAGAGCTGCAACAAACACGTGTCAATTACCCGACCTGTATCTTACACTGAGGTTATTTTACATTTTGTTATTTCTTAGTTATTTACCAGATCTGAAATAATGCGATCTAAAGTTAGAGTCAGTTAGTAAGAATTATTAAAATGGTGCCCATTTATTCCCCATTTTTTGGTCAAATGGACAACGATGGTTTTAACAAAATTCATATAAAGTTCAATGAATTATGATATCAAATGTTTTATAAAATTCTGGGAGACTACTCTTAATCAAGTGCAATAAAAGCTTCTGAACTGTGTTATTCCATAACTAACGTCACTAGTTAATACATTTCAGTGCGACTCACATAACATGAAGTTACGAGATTCAAGTGTCAGCCAGATCCACATGTTATTACGAGACCTTCCTGTCAAACCTACTGAGCTTACTGATTTACAGGTTAGTTAATTGTTTAATGAGTTAATTGTTTAATTAGTTAATTATTTAAAAGTTAAAATTAGCGTTTGTCAATCAATGAGTCAAATCAGCGGTTTGATTAGTCGTTGTTTTTTATTTATTATGACAGTATCAACCAATTAGGTGATTTAAAAGTTCCTTACTTGTTACTTGTTTATTCAGACATCTTTGCCAATATAAACTTCTAATGAAAAGGAAACTCAGTCTAACTTGTATCATTATAAAATAGATGGCAACGTTATCCTTGTTACAGTTACAGTTATCCTTGTTTTACTACGGTGTATGTGGAAATAAAGAAGTCTTAATGAATCGGGGTTTTGTGTGTTCACATAATGTATCTAAAGGCTTATTTGGAGAAAGGAAATGACTGTGCTGAATCGGGGTTTTACTGTACATGGTTACGTTTGTGATGAGGGCAGATTAATAAACTGATCAATTATGTATTTAATTGAATTTATAATTAATTAATCACAGGCACAGGTAGAATATCCAGCGGGGACACAGCAACTTACAAACGCCTCCAACGAGCAAAAGTAAGCTTTGCGGTAAAATACCATTTAAATCAAAATTTGGAAACGTTTTGTACACATTTATTTTTATTTTTAAAAGAGTCCTCTTATTCTAAGAATATATTGTTATTAGAAGCGTGGCGTGAAGTAAGGAATAGTAAAGAAGTCCCCTTTCACGACAAATAAAATTAAATTGACATAAATATTAAATTAATGATCGTATTTCAATTTAATTTCTTGACCACTAAGTTTCCCGTTGTATTGACGATTATCGATTTTGGCAGTCAAAGCAAATTCTTGGTGAAACTAATTATTATCCTGCCAGTTATTTGCAGCTATATATATTTGCATGGCTGCCAAAGGATTATAATGCGTCACAAAATAAGTTATTTTGATTTAATTTGAAAATTGTTTAGCCCCTCAAGCCACAACTCTTTGTTACGTAGACCACATGGTAATTTAATGCGCGGCTCGCGCGAGCTTTAGTAAGTGATCACAACACCCAGGTTTTTTGCGATACTCCTTGTTAAAAGTCCATCTTTTCATCACTTCGATATTAGCGTGTTATGCCGCGCGAAAGGTGAGTCGCACACCTTAACACATTTCTTGGTCCAGATGTGGTGACATCACTCAGCTATGGGCGAACCCTAAATAGATGATACCTAGTTTGATGATTAAAGTTTTTAAACATTCCTCTCTGCATTCATCTTACAGATTAACCAAGTGATTAATCAAATCTCCCCCATGCCCAGATTTAAAGATATGAACAGGAGGCAAATGGGGAAACTGTTCAACGCAAATACCATGACTATTCCTAGCAGACCACAAACAACCGATGTCAACTACTTAGAAGGTATGTATTGATATATTATAGGTAGTTTCTCAAGCCATTGATCAAATTGCTCGGAGGGGGAAGCCTCTCTCTAGATTCTAGATGTTCGGCTTCATTACAACCGTGTCCACATTTGATTTAACTCCATAAATAAGGTGTACACAACTAACACAATGTTTGTTTGTAGCTCGACAGAGATTAATGATATGTCAGAAGAGAGATGTTATCCTGCAGACGGTGATGGAGAACCAAGTGGTGATAATATCGGGGGATACAGGATGTGGTAAAACCACCCAGGTGAGACAAACACTGATTTTATCGTTTTTTTTTCTGGCTTACAGTTCTCAAGTAACGGGAGTAACAGATCAGTGAGACATCTCGTAACCTTCTGATGGATTATCAGACGTACGTACCTAGAAATGTGGAGAGGCATTTGGACGAAAACTATTTTGAGTTGGCTCACTCGATTTTCTCCACCCAAGAAGTGATCGTTGAAATAGCAGAGATAAGTTTTACTCCCCCCCCCCCCATCTCCATCCTGTTACACTCTTCCACCACACTACCACTACTAACCACTCTTCCACCACAGGTACCACAATACATCCTAGAAGAAGCTACAGCAAACCAGTCTCACTGCTTCATGTATGTGACTCAGCCACGTCGTATTGCTGCTATAGCTGCTGCTGAACGGGTCTCACAGGTACTTACTTGTTACTGTAGATAAGTGCTTTAAATTTAGAGTCTACTTTGATCATATGAGATCATAACATAATTTTAAACTAATTACAACACTACAAATCTATTACATTTATTGAGTATTATGTAACGTGATGGAAACGTTTTAAACGGGTAAAAGCCGATCCAAACCCTGGCTCCATAACATTAACCCATTAGGGACGATAGGGTCGTTTTTATGACCCACCTTTTCTAGACGAAAAACCAAATTACTAAACGCTATAACGAATCTATAGCATATATACTCAAAATTTATTGGGCTTCATTATATGTAGCCCAATAAATTTTGAGCATATATGCTATAGATTCGTTATAGCGTTTAGTAATTTGGTTTTTCGTCTAGAAAAGGTGGGTCATAAAAACGACCCTATCGTCCCTAATGGGTTAACATGAACGTCTCCTTTAAATATGTATTGAAAAGCTCTAATAGTACAGTGCAGTGGTGCGAGAAAAACTAATTCCATTGTTCGACTAAATGGATTATTTTCACTAAATACTTAAATAAAATTGTATATTGCAAATATAGTAAAAACATTCAGTTTTAAACTTTTAAAAGCTTTTCCTGGTATACCGTGCCAACAAGGAACTCGCCCCTTCTTAAACCCTTAGTAGACTTTCCGGATATATTACATCTGTCCTTTTAAGACATTTTGTTGGACTTTATACCTAGTGCTGAAACCTTTTTGCTTGATGTTGATATTCATACGTGGCTATTTTTGGTAGGGGCGCCATTTAAGGGCGAATTCTCGGTACGTGCCTGAGTATTGCAATTCAGGAGGCGCCCGATTGTTCGTGCTATTGTATTTAACATGAACTTCATAAGTGTTGGTAGAACATTATTTTATGTTATCAAGTTATATGAAACAATAAAATTTCAGAGTTCTTTAGATTTTTCTGGAATTATGGTCTATAACAAGGATTCCATTACCTTCATACTTTCCTGTCTCATTACTATGTTAAATGTCTTAAAGTATTTTACAAGCTTTATAATTAATATGTTAAATGTTTTTAAGTATCATGTAAGGTTTGTTATGTTAAATGTTTTAAAACTTATCATATAAGGTTTGAAGGGGTAAGGTTTTGAAGGCGTTGAGACTCGACCATGTGCATTGCTCATGTTTACCTCGCACAGTTTTGTGTTTTTCGCTCCAATTTTGCTTACCCTGACCCTTAACGATTAGGGATGCTGTCCCGCACCCTTATCACTGAATTTATTCTGACACTCCATATTTTTTCAATGTCCTATTTTATAAACGTCCGATAGCTGTTCTAAAATGAACGCAGTTAGAAAATCAGTACTTATTTAAAATTTTTCAATGCAGGACATTTCGGCCCGTTTTGAATATGCAAGGCATAATTTTATCACAAGAGAATTAGAGATCAATTACAGATGGATAACTCATCACGTGGGGACTATATGACAAAAGGAATGTAATCATCAGGTATCTCGCACCTAACAATTGGTTTACTTGTTTGAACATTTGACGCATTAAAAATCGCTGAAAAAAGCTGGTCTGGAAATATTTTTGAATGTGGAATGTTAAACTGATAGTTGGATAATATCCGGTTGGAAGAGACAAGGACAAATGAAACAGGAAGTTAGGAATGTAGGCACATTTTCGGGGTCAACGCCATCTTCAGGCTCAAATTATTTGTTATATATAGTAGTGTTGAAAGTATTAAAAGTATTATCCAACTATGAGTATTTCAATCATGAGACTAATAAACAGCGAACTACTCCATCATTTGGAATGTTAAAGTTAAACGTTTAGTTTCTTCCACCTTTGGTGAAACGTCAAGTCACCATTCCCTTCTTTTCTCAGTTGCTCTTCTCCCTTGATCGCCTACCATGACCATGACAAAATTTCTATTAAGCAATCCAATTCTAACAGGAACACCAAAGTATTTGGACCTGTTGAAGCTAACCAATTACCAAAGGTATGTTCAGTTCTGCATACTTAACTGTAAAACTAGGCTCATCGGATTAAGATTTACCATGCTATATGAATCAACATTCAAGTAGGATACTTCAGCAGCTATGTTGAAAATGCAATTTTAAAGAATCCCCCACGCCCATCACTTTTATTCTGAGCGACTTTTTGAATTGACCACTTATTTGTTGGCCACAAACTGGATAAGTAATTTAATTTAAATTAAACTGCCGTTTAAAACGAATGCTTTTACGTCGCTTTTTTATTGAAACAATTAATGCTTGTTACTAGATCATATTAATGAACGTCTCGTCTCCTTAATTGATTACAATTTGCTCGAAATAGAGACACTGATCTAAGTTCGCTTAAATAGCTATAATTCTTCCTAATGTTCTGAATCAACGATTAAAGTGGTCGTGGTTACGTTTTGTTGGAACATAGCTGGTAAATATCCTGAAGTAAGCGAAATCATTGATTAGCACTCATTAGGCTTTATTAATCTAATGAATGAAAATACCCAACCCTGTACTGTCAAAATCCTCTTTTAAACGTAGATTAAGAAATTTTGTAATGCGTTTCAATTTAATCCGGTGTTTTTCTGAAGTCTTTCAATTTGAGGTTCCAAGGGTTCGCGAAGCCCTCTCTGCATACCTTGACAGTTAGCATATGTGCCTTAATTTGGATAGAATTTCTACAATTTGTGATTTTTTATCAGACTCGAGGGTTAACTGTGGGCCAGCCTCTATTAAACTGGCATCCCCCTATTAAAATTATTCCTCTATATCGGATGTCGGCAAAGTTTTAAAACCGACTAACACTGTAACTGCAGTGTTATTTATCAGTTATTTATCATTTGACCAACCTTTGGTATTCTATCGGCACAATCGTTGAGTAGTGTACTAGCTGAATCGTGGTTTCACTCCTTCAACAGATATAATATACGTTCACTGTCAACAGATAACTGACGGTCAGTACTTTGATTATAAAGGCGTATGTTTGCGCAGATTGTCTTCATATTGAAGTAGGCACGCACGCGCCACGCAGCACGCACGATAGGTCACCCGTATTTAGTATGTCATGCTTTCAGTCAGTCATTAATCCTTACAATTAATTATTGTTACTTTTGGTAACATGTCGTGGGACGTGAAAAAAATGTGTGTCAATCTTTGAAGCCTGGAAATCATAATTCACTGACAAACGTGTCACTTGTCAGCAATGCCTTATTTGGTAACGTGTGAACGATCCTCAATGAGTTTCAATTATTATTACGTTACGAAATTCAACGCATACACAGTATCGCTTCAGAATTAAAATATTAACTATAACGACTCCTGTCATAATTAGGTGCAAGGTCATATATATATTATATATTGAGTTTAAACTCACGGACACGTTCATTGAAGTTTGAGGAAATTGGTAAATTTCTAAAACAGCGTTTTTGACGATAGTGGTTTACTTTTAACAATTATTAATCTAGCGTGTTCATAAGTTCTGAACATTAGCCACGTGACCCATACTCCCATATGCACTGCTCAAAAATAAAATGTATTGCTTTTAGGCACTATTATGTAAAAAATGTCACATTTTTGTGACATTGTTTACCATAGCTGCCCAATTAGCATTTTTTGGTCTAAAATATAGTAGATTAGGTCAATCTAACAATTATGATACAATGTAGGCCTAAAGGGCAGTGATCGAACGGCTTTAAGGCAACATTTCGTAAACTTTGTCACACTCAGAATACGGGACCTCTTTTCTACTGTGAGGTGTCCTCAAAACCCTTTCAACTCATTATTTGATAGTTCTTCTGCCAATCATAGCCCTAAAATATGTTGTTTTGGAAAATTAACAAATACATGCACTTGGCTATTGGGAAATGATGTAAATTCTGTCACATTATATGGAATTTGAAATTCTGGGTGAATTTCCGAAATCATTTATATCTGATTTTGGTTTGGAAGGCGGGAAAACTCTATATGAGGACGATACACGGATACAGTTGATTGAAGTATAGGGCAGTTGATGTAAACATCGTCACAAAATGATACGAAATCGTAAATGGACACGTTCATGTTGAAGTTTAAGGATATTGGTAAACCAAAAAAAATAACGTGTTCAGAAGTTCTGGACATTAGCCACGTGACCCATACTTCCATATGCACTGCTCAGAAATAAAATTTATTGTTTTTAGGCACTATAATGTAAAAAATGTCACATTTTTGTGACTGTGTTAACCATAGCTGCCCAATTAGCATTTTTTTGGTTTAAAATATAGTAGATTAGGTCATTCTAACAATTGTGATACAACATTTGGCTAAAGGGCAGGGATCGAACGGTTTTAAGGCAATATTTCGTAAACTTTGTCACACTCAGAATACGATACCTCTTTTCTACTGTGAGGTGTCCTCAAAACCCTTTCAACACATTATTTGATGGTTCTTCTACCAATCATAGCCCTAAAATATGTTGTTTTGAAAAGTTAGCAAATACATGCACTTATTGGGAAATGATGTAAATTCTGTCACATTATATGGAATTTAAAATTTTGGGTAAATTGCCGAAATCATTTATATCTGATTTTGGTTTGGAAGGCGGGAAAACTGTATATAAGGACGATGCACGGATAGAACTGATTCAAGTATAGGGCAGTTGATGTAAAAATTGTCACAATAATAATAAGGGCAGTTGATATGAAAGAAAATCTATCTAACTAATGCAATGGCTGATGTGACGAAATTTACATTTTTTTGAACTTATTTTGAAGAAACATGCCTCGATTAGAATTCAATATTCTTCCAGGAATTATTAGTAGGTTATTATTCAGCAAATCAGAACTCAAGTTTAACAATTCTGAGTTTAATTTTACTAAGTTACCGAAATGTGACGAAATTCACTTTTCCTGCCCCAACAGTATAATTTCAATGTGATGAAAAATGGGCATGGGTTTCTATATTTCCTTATCTCTGAATTAATCATTTCAAACTATAATTAGGACTGTTGATGTGAAAGAAAGTGTATCTAAATTTTACAATGACGTATTTGACAAAATTTACATTTCTTGACCCTATTTTGAAGAACCATACCCCGATTAGAATTCAATATTCTTCCAGGAATTATTAGTAGGTTATTATTCAGCAGATCATCAGAACTCAAGTTTGACAATTCTGAGTTTAATTATACTAAGTTACCGAAATGTGACGAAATTCACTTTTCCTGCCCCAAAAGTATAATTTCAATGTGATGTAAAATGGGCATGGGTTTCTATATTTCTTTTATCTCCGAATTAATCATTTCAAACTATAATTAGGACTGTTGATGTGAAAGAAAATGTATCTAAATTTTACAATGACGTATGTGACGAAATTTACATTTCTTGACCCTATTTTGAAGAACCATACCCCGATTAGAATTCAATATTCTTCCAGGAATTATTGGTAGGTTATTTTTCAGCAAATCAGAACTCAAGTTTAACAATGCTGAGTTTGATATCACTAATTTACCGAAATGTGACGAAATTTACTTTTCCTGCCCCAACAGTATAATTTCAATGTGATGAAAAATGGGCATGGGTTTCTATATTTCCTGTATAAATCCATTCCAACTATAATAAGGGCAGTTGATATGAAAGAAAATCTATCTAACTAATGCAATGGCTGATGTGACGAAATTTACATTTCTTGCCCCTATTTTGAAGAATCATACCTCAATTAGTATATAATGTTACTTTATCACCATCACTATGTCGATAAATTAGTTATTTTGCCAACACGGAGCAAATAAAGTTATTATTTTTTTTTGTGACGAAATTTACAAATTTTTACCCTGTTCAGGTGTTGAAATTTATCCAATGTTAACATATCACATTATCACTGCCATATAATAATTTATATGACCGGCGTATGGTTGAAATATTGTTAATTGACCCATAGTACGTAATATAGGGTGTTTAAGTTGGTATACTAATATTTACTCAATTTCACACATGTTGAGATATCATACAAATTTATGTGACTAAATTTACCTATTTCTGCCTTCTGTATTTGTATTTGCCTATAACAATGAAATATGTGAACAATTCCAAACACATTCAGCTCACAAAATAATGCTAGACTGTTCGGCATTTCTTGTCAGGATGTCATAAACATCCCTCATATAAATTTCTTAAATGTGTGACAGAGTTTACATGGAGCTACCATTTAAGGAAAAAAGTCGCTAAATATGTAGATAATAGTCATATACAGCTATTCTATGAATTGGAAATTCGAAAATTTGGTCAAACACGGCAACAAGGGGTCCATATAAACTCCGTCACGTTTTTATAGTGTGACAAAGTTTACAACTCACTGCCGGCCGCATTTAAGCGATATCTTATCGTCTGATATAGATATCGTTATGCGACAAAGTTTATCTAGAGGATGAAACGATTATCTTAGGGTAAGAGGGTTTATATAGTTTCATAGTGTGACACATTTTACATCATCGTGCCGTTCAGTAGGGTCACTAATATTTACCAATATCCTCAAACTTCAATGAACGTGTCCTTAAGTATTTTGATCCTACTCGATGCATCGGCACATTTTTTATGTTAAATTCCGTTAAGTGACAATTATTGTTATTAATTTTAATGCTATTCTTACTGACCTACTCTAATTCTTAGCGCTTTTCAATATTATTTCAACCATTTCTAACTAACCTTGCTCATTGACGTTTGTGCCCAAAACCTATCGTTTTTAGTATAATCTACATCAAAATAAAGATAATCATTTTAGCACTGAAACCGACAATGTCAGAATCCACCTTGAATGCAGGTTACTCCGTAACAAAGAAGACCCTAACAATAGACCCCAACACGGGCGACCTAACCATAGAGACATCCATGAGCCCCACATCTGACGGTTCAACCTCACGACGTTTCTCCGCAAGCAGCTTCACCAGGATGTCCTCCGCTACGTCCCAGGACTTGGAATCTGTGTTTAACAGAGGTATGGTTCCGAGGGTTTACAGGAGACCCAGCAGCTCCTCTACAGCTCGCCGTGTTTCCAGCTCCAGTGAGTCGTCCTCGTCTAATGGTTCCAATGGTTCTTCTTCTTTTCGTAAGTTTACGATTAAAGGAGGGTCTCCGGACACCCAGTTCCAACTTCTGAAGAAATTACTGCCGCAGCTGCAGCAACTCCACGACCGCACCCAAAGTCATTTTGAGCTTTGAATCGAACAAACATGACGCGATGTATGAACGATAATCGATATTGATGTTGTGATATTTATTTGAGAGTGATTTGTAATTTGAAAATGATATTGTTACAACTTAAAAGTATAGCATTCTGTTAAAAATTGAATGGGTGTAGATTTTTTTGTCAGAATTCTAGAATAATCCAATCCACTTAAGTATTAATTACAATTAAATCTATTAATACACACGGATCAAGTGTTAAATATTATATAAATACATAACATACATTTAATCACATTCCCCTGGCGTCGTACCATAAAAACTAGTAAATTAATCTGTGAACAATTGAACATTTTATGTGATCACCATGACCACACAACATGTGACCACCATGTGACTAACATGTGACCAACATGTGACCACCATGTGACCACACAACATGTGACCACCATGTGACTAACATGTGACCAACACATGGCCACACAACATGTGACCACACAACATGTAACCACCACATGTGACTAACATGTGACTAACACATGACCACACAACATGTGACCACCATGTGACCACACAACATGTGACCACCATGTCACCACACAACATGTGACCACCATGTGACCACACAACATGTGACCACCATGTGACTAACATGTGACCACCATGTGACTAACATGTGACTAACATGTGACCACACAACATGTGACCACACAACATGTGACCACCATGTGCATTGTGCAGTGACCAACACATGACCACACAACATGTGACCACACAACATGTGACCACACAACATGTGACCACACAACATGTGACCACACAACATGTGACCACACAACATGTGACCACACAACATGTGACCACCATGTGACCAACACATGACCACACAACATGTGACCACCATGTGACTAACATGTGACCACACAACATGTGACCACACAACATGTGACCACCACATGACCACACAATGATCTTCAGGAGAGAGGTGAGAGAGTGGGTACGAGTGTTGGCTACCAGATCCGACTAGAGTACCGTAGTACCCAGAAGACGGTGTTAACCTACTGTACCAATAGTGTCCTGCTACGAGCTCTGATGTTGGCAGGCCCTCACGATTGTCTTGAGCAGGTACTTATAGTTATCTAGATAGCGTTAGTTTATACGTTGAGCAGGTACTAGTTATGAAGATAGGTATAGTTTATACTCACTTTATAGGTTATAGGTTCAGTTCATAGGTCTATGTTATTATATATTTAGTTTGAATTACTAAAAAATACTTTTGGAAGATCCGTCTTCAAATATTTCAGAAATGTTGAAATATTTCAATATTTTGCATTTATCTCCTCCCAATCAAATATTTGTTTTTGAGTTTCTTAATTTAAATTTATAAAAGCAGGAAGTTTCTAATACTAAATAAAATATTTTCCGTTCAAGAAAGAATTTAACAAAAGAAATCATACAACAGCTTCTTCTTGTTAATAATAATTGAACTATAAAATCTTATAAAGATGGGCCGTTCTCGAAATATTTTAACCAAGCGTCAAAATGTTTTGCTAAATATGTTATCGATAGATTGATGATTGTCGGTATCAACTTATCAGCAAAGCTAATCAGTTGATGAATAAATCTTTCCTTATCTTCTTGGCGCAGCTCAGGAAAAAAATAAGAAGAAAATAAAGCCATGTTTTAAAAGATATGAGTGGTGACAATAAAAACCAATAAAATCAAAAAACACCAACTCAATCAGAAGGCGTGTAACAGAAATTGGCCCAATTCTCCTAAAAACGGCGTTCCAGTTACCATAATCCAAACATATATTTTAAATATAATCTAACTATACGTATATTCTATTATACGTATATTCTATTATACGTATTATATCCTATTAAACGTATATTCAGTTTGATTTTAACAAAATTACAGACTGGTATCTTGGGTCTGAACTCCTGATAAAACATTTTCTCTTTGAACAGGTGGAACTTCTCTTCTCAAACTAGATATAAACCCGTTGATTTGACTGCTAGAGTGGTCGTAAATAGTCATCATAGGAGCGAAAATAAAGTCAAACAAAGCCGAGTTATACAGTATAGGATTAATCATAGAATTCAGAGGTAAAATTATAACCGAGAAAAAGGGATACCAATCAGTCGCATCTATGATCTCACCAAAATGCATAAAACAGACAATGGTAAATGGGGCCCACGCTAAGAAATCAGTGAAAATTATGAAAGCTATTTTAGCCTGAAGTTTCCTGGCCTGCGCGTCCCTCTTGGCATTGTTGTTGCTAGAACTTCCCTTACTTCGTTTGTGTATCAGGATATAGTTAGTTGTTATCACCAGGAAGCAGAGGAAGTTAATGATGAGAATGGAGAGAGAAAATTCTTTTTGTGGGTCTGACTGTGTAACCAAATACTTGAAAACGCACACTCCTGCATTTCCGTAAAAGTGAACGGCTTCTCCTTTAACACCTGCAGCAATATTCTGTTAGAAAAAGGTTACCAATTTATCAAAAAAATTCGTCATGAAAATGCCGAATTATTTTTCAAAACCCCGATTCACGGACTGTTCTGAAAGCAATTTAAAGATTTAAAATTACCTCCTTGATCGTCTGAGAACATAGTTGCGGTTATACGTTGAATAGTTTGCCAGGTAAGGGGCCCAGTTTTGTATCTCCCATAGTAAGATCCGAACACAGAATAATGAGTAGACTTAGAAACAGAAGCAGTGAAGAGAGGGTTCTCGTGGTAGTATAACCCGTTGACAAAGTAGTCACCTAATGCAGGTGTGAGAGGAACCAGGGCAATGACTGTGGAGCAGAAGATCACGGCGAATGCCGTTAAAGTCACTTTTAAGATTGACTTGGTTGTTCTGGCTAAATCTGCCACAGTTTTACGAGATGACACGGTTATCAGTCTGCTTATACTCAAGGCTGCCATGGAAAAGAGAGAAACCTGTGAAGCTATCGTGTTGACGACCCCTAAACCCTTGCACCCTGAAGCTGATAGCCAGTGAAACTTTTCTTTGCAATATCCAGTTCCATAAGATCGATTTAGGTAGGCGATTGTTAGCAGATAACACCCCATCAGCAAATCACTCAAGGAAATTAACAGTACCATAACCCAGGTTATCAAAGCGGGATAAGTTTTGGTCTTTCTTAGTTCGTTCACGGAGTTCCACACTGCTGCTGTATTGAGTATCGCCGATAATCCACCAGTCATCCAGGAAAATATTTCAAGTGCTAAGTTACCTAAGATCATTCGCTTTGGAGTTGGACACTGAGTATTACACTCATCTGAATAGTCAGCGCAGTCATAAACATCGTCACAAAGAGCCGATAGAGGGACCACAGTTTTAGCAGTAGCTTTGTTCTGGCACATAAAGTGGTTGGAACAGTCCAGTTCATCACTCCAATCTCCACAATCGTTGATCATATCACAGACTTGTCTATACAGCACGCAGTTCTTGTTCTTGCAGGGGAATATTTCATTGTGGTATTTGCCATGTTCTTTGAAAAGGACAGTGAGTTCATTCTGATCGGTTATCGTGTAGACCCTCTTGTTAGTGTTGATGCACGTGTCAACTGGCACGTGCTTGAGAGGACACGAAGCGTCGCTGCATTTTCCTGAGCAGCTCATATAAACATAATACTCTCCGTAGTAATACTGGCAGCTTTCAATCTGATTAGGAACGTTAAGTTCAGTAGTGTGCATATATTGTGCGACAGTCGAGTGAATGTGCGTGAATTTTGTGGCCCCTGAGCAATCAATCTGTGCTTCATGTCGGAAGTCGTTCAATCCTTCCTTGCAGCGAGGGAAAGTTTTGAGTTCCATACTATGTTTTCCAATCGAATGTACTCCAATTTCTTTGGTCAAAGCGATTTGGCCCCTTGCTTTAGCGCACATATCATTCTCGGTACCACAGCTGTTAACAGTGTCGCATAAACTGGTCAATTTCACATAGTTGCTTCTATCTGAGCACTTTAACACCAGGGGACACTCTTGCTGGGAATCCTTGTCTATGTCGATGTAATTGGTCCAATAGTTGGTACCGCATTTTTTCCAGAACTGTTCCTTTTCGTTATGTTCTTTTTCATCATGTCCCTTTTCATCATGTTCCTTTTCATCCATCCCATCTTCACAATCCTCGACGCCATCGAACACCCAGTCGAATAGTATCGGAAGTGATCTTTTGTTTGATTCTCTGTCATATGATGGCCTCAGGTCGACTCTACGCGTACAATTAAGGACGGAACGGCTACCACATAGGTCCTCTGCTTCGTCTGACCCATCCGGACAGTTGGAAACGCCGTCACAAAGTTGGTTCTTGTGAACAATGCACCCAGCCTCAATTTCTTCGCACCTATCGTCATATGCATCGTCACATATGTTGAAACCTTTACAAACTCCGAAAATGGAAACACTTGCAGTTATGTTGTTCACCCTACAAGTCAGAGCAACTCTCTTGCTATCCAAACAGTTCACTTGATCCATCCCGTCTGAACAAACTATTCTACTGTTTGGAACTGCGCAGATTTGGGAGGCAGCCAACTTTCTGCGTTTTTCCGCACTCTTCCCTCCCACTGAGGCACACTTTATACCCGAGTTGCAACCTTCCTCATCCTTATTGCTCATACAGGAAGCATCATCATTACATATACCATAACTTTCCACATATCCTCCCATATTGTATGTTCTTTGACACTCCACCCCGTAAGATATACCATTACAGTTCTTCTCATCATCACAGAATCTACAATCACATGTGTCATCGCACGTTTTATTAGGATGCAACTTTTGAATTGAACTATCCTTGCAACTATAAAATTCCAGGTTTTCTTCTTCGGCTCGGATATGTGTTGTTTCTGTGTTGTTGTTTCCGGTCTCATTTTGAGCGGCACACTTGAAATGCTCGTCAATGTCTGTGTTCTGGCAGTTAAAGACACCATTGCAACCGTTTTTCTGCAAAGACTGTGCTCCTGCACGTATTAACTTATGTCCTGATGTTTCATGACACAAATAAGTTTTACAAAGAACCTGAGCCCCTTTCCCATTCCCCATATCGCTCCCTACAAGAGCAGTACAGCCAGCATGACCACATGCTTGGTAGAATTTAGGGTCTTCTGGGCAGAGCGTATCATACACTTGTTCCCAGCACGTTTCGTATGAGCTTTTCACAGAACTGAAACTGTACAAGGTGTCCTTTGCATTGTGACATCTAAACCAATCCATGTTGTCGTATCTGCAAGACTCCTTCAGAAATACGTTCCCGGATACACCAACTTCCTCCACTGAGCAGTCTTGGTAATCTGTGATCAATTAAACATTATTGTAATGTAAGAATCATTTGACTCTTTTACCTCTTTATCTTGAATGGACATAACGATATGTTCTCAAAAGTGTCGTAGTTGCGTCCCTTGATCCTCCATGTTGCCGAAGACCATAAACCCTCATTTTATTTAAGAAACCCCATCAATTAAAAAATTAAACTACCTCGGGTCCTATTTAATGTTAAGTGAATAACCACTTGCACTGAAAGCATCGACTATAAACAAGTTACGTTAATGGTACGTTACCTCGTTCTTCAGGCTGATAAAAGACAGTCCCAAAGTCTCCGCTGAGTCGAACCCAGGCTAAATTATCCGCCATTATCGCTGTACAACCTGTGTAAAGAATTACGTCTCCGTTGCAGGATACCTCCAAGGTTTGGTCCTCGACATTCTTTACTACTTTAAAATACCTGTATCCATCATCAAGAAGTTCACATTTAGAGAGGAATTTGTTCATGTATGGCTTACACCAATACATTACCACAAATGGCACTGAGTCGACGAATCGGATTGATATCCTATGCAAATCGGTGGATCCTCTGGTGGGTGTGAGTAGAGAAATGACTTGTTCACCATTAATGGGAGTATTGTTCACCTTCAAATGTAGCGCATTTTCTTCCAAGTTGTGAGGAATTGATGTATGTAGAGGTGCCCTTTTCCAATTTGACGGTAGAGGTTCCAAGTTTGTGAAACCTGGGTAACAGTCCTATTAATTTGTGGACATAGATTGCATTACTTAAATTACTTACTATGTTTGTGTTTATTTTATCATTATTTTAAGTGAGCTTACTGTTTATATTTGCAAATTCAAGCTAATAAATACTATGAATCTTGACACTGGTGGGGAGGTGAATTATATTTGTTTGGATTTTATTGGTTGCTGCTGGAAGCTGGTTAAAAGTAAATCGCTGTCATGTGTGGAATAAATAAAATGGTTTGCCTCCCCTCCAGTACACCACTATACAAGTGTATCACTGGGGGGGGGGGGGGGGGGGGGTGCACTACCCTTTTTTACACCATACATTAAAAAAAGGCAAAAGTGTAGTGTAAAAAAGTGCAGTGTAAAAAAGCCTTTAAAAGTTTTTAAAAGTGATATTTTTTTCTCACAAAAGGTATGTTTTACCTTTGGAAATGTACTATGTGGAGACTGATTGGAAAATAATCGGGAAAATAAGATTTTTAGAAGATAATTTTGTTAAGTGTAATTAAAAGTGTAAAATAGTGTAAAAAAGTGTATCTTTTTATTACACTTGTTACTACACCATACACAAAAAAAGGCAAAAGTGTAGTATCACTATCATACCTTTATATGGAGCATACTGCACATCGTAGGATTCAAGTAAGAGTCCGTCTAAATTCGCCACTTTAAAACTTCTTTCCAGTTGCTCACTACACTCCGCTCCATACTCAACAACTTTCCTTCCGTTACAGGAAATACCCAGAATATTACTTGATTGTGAAATTGACAGGTGTAACCAATTTCCTGGCTGCCTGTTACATCCTTGCACAACCTTTGTTGTTTGTGTCCCTGAGCATGACAATCTGGCTGAAGAAATCCCAAACTTTGTTATGTAGAGGTGCAACGTCAACATATTACTTTGATAGTATGTATGATAAAAGTGAATTGCCATCCATATCTTGGTCTTACGAGTCCCCAATGAAGAAGATGGTTTTATTTTAAGCTCAAGAGGAGAGGATGTAAGATAGATATAGTCATTTTGTTTGTAATATGTCCATGTCCAGTCAGTTGGTGTTGTTTGCGTCGAATCTTCTTCTAGATATAAATATGTTAATATAATGTGGAGAAATGAGAGAATTTAAATAAAATTAAAATTTGAATACATCCTGTTCTTGATTTATCATGAGATACTGAATTATAATTGTTGTTCACCAGGCTAAATTAACAATAGTTTCCTATTGAATTTATATTTTAATCATTACCTTCATAGTATGGGAGAAGATACAATACGGATCCGGATCCGTCTTTTAGTCCAAAACTTTTTAGAAATATATACGCACTATCATCACCAAATTTCCTTGCACATTCTTCACCGTAAACCAATGGCTCCCCATCATCACAACTGATCTCAACGGACAGGCTTGTTTTCTCGATCACCAAATTCACCCAAGACTCATCATTCACAAGACACGAATCTAGAGCTCTGAGATCATTCCCGCAGATATCTACAGCAACATGTGTAATGCCGGAGTTAGTAGTTAACAGGTTTATCGTAAGTTTATATGTGTAATCTGACGTGAAAAAGCTCACTTGTCTCCACCCATTACTTTTTGGGGGTTTTATCTTAAGATTTATGGCTGATTCGTCAAGGAGATGGCTTATGTATTGGTCTGGCATCGGTGTTTTCCATAGCAAGGAGATTGGTTGGTCACTATCTTCTGAAATGCAAAATTTGAGAGATTGCCATAATAAAAATCATCATAATATGATACTTATATTCATATAATTTGTATAAGTAATAACTAATATTTCATACAATTTACTAAAGAAGTTTGTTGATTTTTTGAAGGATCGTGAATCATAAATCATCTTGTACTTATATAAACTTATTTTCTTCACAACAAAAGTAACATAATATGGAAAATTGAAGCATGCTCATTGCTCAATGCTCAACCCATCTGCAACATCATACCTGCTAGGTTGCCGACTTGGTACATGAAAGACCCATAAACTGTGAAATAAGGATAAAAGTACACGAGATCGTTGCCAATTTTTCTGACACAGTCTTTACCAAATATCACTGGACGTCCGCTATTACAACTTATGTGTAAGGCTAGATCTCCAAACTTCTCCAATACCAAATAAACCCATCGTCCATCTTCAACTTGGCAGGATTCCAATGCTCTAAATTCTGTTCCACAGGTAGCCATATTTACATGCGATACCCCAGTTTGAGTCACGTAAAAGTGTATGGTCATTTTTATTGCATAATCTGTAGAGAAGAACTTGAATTCACGCCAAACACCTTCTGGCGAAGTTGCCATTTTCATGTTCAAGTGGAATTCTTCCAGAGGATGACGTATGAATGTATTTTCCACTGGCATCTCCCAATACGGTGGAGCATTTTTGTAAATTACCGAATTTGCTCTGGATAACTCCGATATTCTGAAAATATCGAATGTGCCATGTACCGCTCTGCATTCATTCTCTCTCTTGAAAATAGTTAGTTTGCCATCATCACAAGAAACATCGAAGGAGATGTCATCTTGCGCAAATGTAAGGTCAATCCACTGACTGGCGGGTTTAGATGCACAGACCATCCTGTTGTTTGAGTGCGCAGGACAATCACGCCCACTGCTATGGATAGAAACTCTATTTTCGCTCACAAAAATTGAGATTGGCAGTAGAAGAGTTGGTCTTGTTTGTGATTTGAAATATATATGATTCCAAGTCAGTGGTGCAGGTGGTCGTATACGAAGATGTAAAGGGATATTACCTAGAGGATAAAAAATATCCTGACCAAGTGGCGATCTCCAGTTTGAATTAGGCAAGAATTGGGCCGGTGATGTTTCTGCAAATATTGAGTTTTAAAACAGGACATAATTCACAATTATAAACAAATTGAGCATTCTAGCACTTCTGAATCAAAGCATATTTAGTATTTACAGCAATTTAGGAAAGCTAAAATTTGCGCTTATCAAGTTATCACATCTTTCTCATTTTTTCCGTTCACCCTTTTGTAAAAAGGCAATAGTGAAAGGTTACGAATGGACGTTTTTGCATAAAAACGTGGATTTTGGAGAACAAGGTAGGTGGGTTTAAATATGTCGTCGGTACGTACTTCCGTTAGTAACCATGTCAACTAGCGTGCAGTGCAGCGCGCGAGTATTGCTTGTGAAGATTTTATGCATATCGCGAGCCTGTCAATGAATGCGCGGCGCGAGTGTATTTTAATGTATACTATGTAATGTATAGTATTAGGCAATAAGCCCAATTTGTACGTGGCATGCGTAGTATAGTGTACTGATGTGTATCAATAATATTGTTATAAGTACGTGAGCTGATTGGAGCCTATATTTATAATTGTAGTGAATGGAAATCTAGCGTCCGCCAAAACGAAACAACGGGCGCATTTCTTGTTTATTCTGTTACGATTTTATAATGTGATCATTGTTTTAACCTGTATGCTTTTGAAGATAGTGAACTTTTCCTTGTCCAAATTCCTTTGATAGACTTATCTTATCAATATCCACAAGCTTGTAACTGCAGGATTCATCACATACAGTAAAAACGTCATCATTGTTGTTACATCGCAATTCCAATGAACCGCTCTTTGTTTTATTGAAGGTAAACTTCCAAAATTTGCCATTTTTGTCCAATTCAAAAGTACAGTTTGTTAAAATGTTTGAAAACTTAGGCTGACTTTCAAGTGACAGTAATAATTTCAACTTGTAAGCTTCCGTAGTATGCTCCCATCGCCTGAAAAACTTGATAAACTTTGTCCCTTTGAACCAGTGGTGTATCTTCAATTCTAACGGTGCCGAATCCAGTTCGTGGCTGATGAGACTTTCCAGAGGAGCCACCTTCCACTGCGGAGCTGATTAAAATTATTATTTAATATTTCTAAAATAAAATTCTTGAATAATTAAATAAAAATCTCAGTGAGGGTTACTAATTTGAGCATAATGCATATATCATATACTCACTCTGGTGCGGGAAATGAAATTTTTCGGTTGCGAACATGCATTTTATTTCTTGTTAACCACATCATGACCACATAAATATGTCCAGTCTCAATTCATTTTACGAAACTAAATAATATTAAACGCTTTTGTACAATATACATTTAAGCTGAATAATATGAGAAGTTTGTTTAGTGAATAGGGTCTCTTACCATACTTTTAAGAGGTCGTTGACTCTGGATGCCCGAGGCAGGCGCCATGTCATTATTTTGCCCAATTTCGGCCGAACTTTGTGATGTTCTACTTGCAGCTTAAAGTATCCTTGCCACACATAATTTTAAAGTTGAGCAAAATTTGTACCAAAATCAATATCAAAAGTAAGAAACTACAGTTTACTTATCCCTCATTGCATAGATAACATTCTTCAGTGACCCTTTTTACAGTTATAACCTATCTGATAGAAGATATCTCCCTTCCCAAAACCAGCCGACAAGTAAACTGTGTTGATGTCTTGAACGAGACCTTTGCAGCCATCATCAAAAGCAACCGTATTTCCACCATTACAATTACAAGAAACATCGATAGAGGAGCCATTTTGGGTTAGCGAGAAGAACCAGAATCCATCCTTATCATGCTGGCAATTAGAGATATACTTTGAAGTGGTTGCACAAGGGTAGAGCTTTGCGTAAGCATAGCTCGAATCTTCTGAGTCTTGTAACCACAGAGATACAGAAACATTTGCACTGTATTTACTGGATTCCCGGTCAAAGTGGTTAAGAGTTATGTAGTTCCACTCTGGAACTTTAGGTTGGTTTTATTTTTAGGTGAAGTGCGTTCTGGCTGAGGTCATAATCAATATATGTTTGAAGAGGAGCTGGCTTCCAGTTTTGCTCTGAAAAAAATTGTTTTTACTCGTTCAGATTTTTTATGATTTGGTTACAATGATCACTAATGTTAAGATCTTGGGGGGGGGGGGGGGGGGGGGGGGGGGAGTTGAGCTATATTCTTCTTTTAGATTTGCAAGATACGGCCAGGTAGCACAGTTGGTTAGAACGCCTGTCTTACAATCGTTAGGTTGCGAGTTCGAAACCCACTGACTGCCTGGTCGTGGGGTGAGCGTCGTCGACGTTCAGCTAAGGATCATGAGTGGTCTATGCAGCCCCCCGGTCTACTCAGCCGAATACTCGAGAAATCGGGTGTGAGGGTTAAATGAGGAGCTGCACATTGCAGCAAAGTCTCGGACGAAGAAAGTATGGTACACACTACCTTAACCGTCACTGGCCAAAAAGATCCTTCGGCTTCCTGTAATTGGCTGGTTGCACTTGTGTAACATTGTGGCTGTTGGAATACACCGAAGTAAAATAAGTGTCTAGATAAAAAAAAGATAAGCCTGTTTTTGGACTCCTAAACACATACACGAATTTACATCCGGTACAAAACAAATGTGCCAAAAACTATGAAATAAGTGTAGATCGAAAAAGGGATGTAGTTTCAGGAGATTTGTTTCCAGAATTAAAAACTAGCAATGTGAAATGATGAATCCAGCAAGATTTTGTTGTGCCAATTTAAGGGTCAAATGATAAAGTCCTGCAAATTTTGAAAGATAATAGGTCTCACTCTCAAATAAAAAAGGGTGCAAGGAGGGAGAATCTGGACCAATTTGTGGGCAGTTTGGTAATCTAGCACACTTGGGGCACATTTGGGGCACAAAATTGAATTTCCTGGGGCAAAACGTTACTTAGGGCATAGTTGGGGCAAATACAGTTGGGGCACAATCGAGGCGAAAAAATGGTAATCTAGCAAGTGTGCCCCATGAATTTCAATTTTGTGCCCCAAGTGTGGCCCCCCTCCCCCCCCCCCCCCCCCCCCACCCCCTCTTCCTACACCCCTGGAGATTACACTTGACACAGTAATATTCTTCGTTTAAGGGATTGATTTTTAACAGTTAGACTCGCCAATATCTAAATTGAAGTTGCCAAATTTACCGCACTCATACAGACATACATGTAGCCTCTGGCATTGTCACTGAGACCTTACGTCAACCAATCATTATCAAAGATCACCCACCTGGCTGAGATTCCCGGTCGCCCTGACAGGTTTCAATGGGCAAAGGTATGTACTCGTCTCCCTCGCAGCACAAACTGTCTCTCTGAATCACACTGCCGTCACACTTGGTACCGTGAGCAGCGATAACTTTTTCCTTGTTCGATTTACAACAGTATTTTCCGTCGACATAGACGTTGGGATGGGAAGCAGGACATTGACCTTCATCTGAAGAATAAATCTTATCATAATATAGTATATATTATATAATAATGATGGTGTGAATACATTTCTTCGTTCAAGATACTATCATAGGTGAAAATAAGTTCCAAAAGTGGCACCTTAACGTAACCTGAAATTTTTTAACCTGGCTAGGGCTGTTGCTGTATTTTTTTCCACATCAGTTAAGTTATTATTATTTCTCAGGGGGTTCCTCCATATATAATATGCTTACTGTGGCAAGATAATCAGGGCCCCTGTCATGTGCCCGGAGCAAAAGGGCAAGGTGTCCACTCAAATGCCGATCACCCGGAGACCGCAAGGGGTGCGGGCGGCGGGGCAAAATCGCCAGAAGCGGAGATTTTTTGAGATATGGTGCCCTAAAACCATTCTAAAATACCCTCCTAGAGGCGCCACTGGCAAATTTTATACAGTTTAGAAACGCTCTGAAAATAATTGAATGGAAGAGTCTGAGCATGCTCTGGAGAGTGGAGATGATAACTGGAAGGAATGCTGCTGCAAAATGATCAATTTTATTGCTCTCTGGTACTCCCAAACAGGTTAATTTAACCTCTCAAGTTAAAATTTCGCTTGAACTTTTTCAAAATTTGACCTGGCTTTGAAATTTTAACGTAAGGAGGAGGGATGAAAAGGCACTTATTTACAGTGGTGGATACTATAGTTCATATGATAACCTGTAGGCGTAGAGACTTCAAAGAACCTCAGCCTCGGTCGATTCAACTTACCTGATGCCGTGAAAAATGACTTTAATAAGGAGCCCTAGATAATATAATTACATGGGTAAATGTTCAATGTACATCACTTTCATGCTTACCTTTTATTTCTCTTAAAGAAGTTCCGATGAGTTGGACAATCGCCAGCAAATGATGCTGCCGCTTTTGACGGATATGTTGAGGCACAATAAATGGTTTGCCGTTCAGAGAAGTTGAATATACTGACTTAAAATCTCAAACTGAAGCTGAGAATCCAAAAGTTACCAGTTTTGATGTACCTTTGTTTCTAAGATTGCTAAAATTTACCAGTTTTGATGTAGCTTTCTCGCCATATTATCACCAAAGATTATCAGTTTTGAATGTGTGTCAAAAATAACCGTCGATGATAGATGAAATTATCCACAATTGGCCCGCAAGTTTAAAATATGTCATTTGACATGTGTATGTGAAAATAGATAAGCTTAAAACTGAAATAAAGATGGCGTACCTGTTGCAGAAGCAATAGAGAGGACAGTCACAAAAAAGGATACTTTAGTCAGAAACCCCACGATATTATTCATGGTTTCTGATGTACATTAATCCATTATATTCATCGAGCACAAACGCTCCGTAGAAAGCATCCTGAGTAATAAGTTCATGAGCTGAGTTGGTTACTACAAGTATAATAGTTGAGATATGGCTAGCTGCAAATGTAAACGTGATATCACAGACGAAAGATTTGATTTGTATGTATTCAAACTCATATCACAGTTAAATCTCATGAGATTGTAGTGTTCAGGAGGAAGCATCACAGCTCTCGACAGACAAAGGCAAGTCACTGGTGAAAAATAGATGAAATAACCGACGTTTCGGCATTCATTGGCCTTTTCCTAAGATTAATCTTAGTCATTTGCATCATTTCACTTTAGCACTTTGTCTGTCGAGAGCCGTGATGCTCCCTACTGAACACTACAATGTTGAAAACTCACGCTCGGCCTTTTGAATTCTATAATTTCATGAGAGAAAGTAAGATAATAGACCTGGTTACCAGTGAGCAATCAGGAGGTAACATGTGCCAGCTAATAACCAATCGGCTTCAAGCAGTAAACTAATCCAATCCACGAATTAATGTCACGTGTCAGAGTCTATTATTAAAATACGAAATTTACTACAATATATAGCAGAAGTTTTCTAAAAGCAGATCGTTGGATCCCTTCAACACGTGCATTTTTCAGCACGAAAAATCAACAATGTAATTAACAATAGAGACTGAAATTAGTTGACAATAGAAATAGAACACAGAGACTGGAAATCACAATAGAGGCTGGACAGAATTATAGTACGGATGATTGGAGAACAACAGTCTGTCTACGATTGTGGAATATCTACCACAGTTTTATTGTTCGAGGCCTTCCCAGACACCCGGCCAATACAGTATACAGCGCTTAGATTACTTCTTCAGCAACTTATTCGGCAACATGACTATCACTAGGCAGTGTTGAATAATCTGATGTCTACTTTAATTCAGGATGCAAAGACAACCACTGTCGAGCCGTGTACCTTATTGGCTGCAATTCAGATCGCTTATTCAGCAACTAATATATTAAGTATATATAAAGTAATTTGAATAATAATAAAGTTCAACACTGTTGAATAATCTGGTGTCCCTAACAGGGTGCAACTGCACCTTATTGGCTGCATTGTGAATTAATTTGAATAATCATAAAGTTGTCTACTAATCAACAGAGCTTGAGTTGGGGGTCTAATATCACGATTAATGACAATAGTATTCGAACCAGTGATCAAAAGATAAAGGTACTTACAAGGAGCTCATTTTAAATATAATTACTATTACTTAAGTTGTCTATTTGTGAAGCGAACCCAAATGTAATGCTAAGTCCATACAAAACGAATATCACTGCTTTTCAATGAATTGGGTACGGTTACACACAATACACATGTTACCTTGATATCAAAAGGTCTACTAATAACACCTTTTGTTTTATCTATATAAACACGAGATCCAATTACTTTAGAGTACTATTATACAGTAATGAGCTAGCTGCTGGAGATACTTAAGGGCTGTGTCATTTAGTGATAAGGGCCTGTCGTGGTATCGTGCATCAAATTAGTTCCATCGCGCCAGGATCTGGTTATTCTCATCATTCTATTTCTGCGGCCTCTGTGTTAATGTATCGTCATATCGCACACTGGATCTGTAACACAAACCTGTGAAACCATCTCAATAAAAAGCAATAACACGGCGAACATTCTTTAAAGGTTTTCTTTCACAGCCGAGTAATTATTCCTTTTAATACTGTGACAGCTAGCACGTTTCTACGGATATCGCCTTAGCTTCTTTACTATTCGTCTTGTATGACTTGAATAAAAGGATTCCTTAACTATTATTAAGGTGTTGTATAAGTCTATTATTAAAACCTGTATGATATTATCATACAAGTTATGATAAAAACGTACTAAATAAGGTACAAATTTACTTCGGACCATTAACGATGTTAACATCAAAATTATGTTCGTGATCCCCTTCAATCCCTCTAAGTGTTTTAATTGTACGGCACACAAGGAAATATTAATTCAGTTCTGTAATACACACTTAATTTCTCCGAACCATTTGAGTTTATTCCGTTAATTCAGTTAATCTTATACAAAATCGAGAAATATTAATATCTTGGAATTTAATATTAAAATAATGGATAGTACTCAGTATTATTTTTAAGTACATAGAATCTAGTACGAAGAATCTAGGCAGACAACGAACCAACCACAAGTACTACGGCAAATTGCTGGCAGCTGCACTGTATACCATTAATTTTGTGGCTCTCACCATTTATCGCTTAGATAAAGACGACTAATGGTTCCATTTCGTGTGATGAATATATTGAGGTAGGATAGAATAATGCATACATTCTATCCTTTGTTATAATGTAGTTATCACGAGGAAACGATCTGTAAAATTACCTAATTAATAACAGACATGTTGGTAAATGAGGAGTTTTGTTAAAATTTAGATTTTCAATCAAACGTTACCACCTGGCCAGTTATAAACCTGCATTCCACCTGAATATTTTTTATTATCCAAATACAGCAGACATCTAAGATAAGAAATAGTATAACTGAGTTATCATTATTTTTCTAATTAAATATGCTAAGGAGCAGTAAGCAGAGGAAAAGACAGGTGCCCGGTAAATTGGACGTCTAGAGCTACAGACCAAAACAGCAGATTTACTGTCCCTGGTTTCCAAAGCTATAGCTTAATTATTTTTAAGGAGTTAAATATTTTTAAGGAGTTATATTTAGGACACGGTAAAGCAGTGCTGGAAGTAGAGTACTCACAAAATGAAACATGAAGGTGTAAATATACATAAACATACCGACGCTACAACAGACTAATTGTAATAAGCGAGAAATACTTTTTTTTTCCAAACATTTATTACGAAATATTGTCGAGATACACTATTTTTTATGAAAATCTTTTCAAAATTTACATACAATATAACATGTGGCGCAAAAAAAAATCAAAATATAACTGATTGCGATCTCTAAAGGACAGATGTATGTAAATTTCAAAGGGAAACCAGAACGCAGTAAAATTGTAGTCGAAACCACACCGCACAAGCCTAGTCCCTGGTAAATGAAAATCAATCAAATAATATGTTGATAAAAAATCATATCCCATCAGTCCTTCTCGGAGCTTACGATCTTATTGTTCCTTATAACATGAACTCGCTGAGGCTCCAATTCCCGTTTCTGCTTAACTTCAAGAACTAACTTCCTGAAGGCAGCTCTCTGCTCGGCTGATCGGTCGGGGCTGATGTACACTGAGTCATACCCCTCCACTTCTCTTAGTTTTCTCGCTTTGCTCAACACTCGCCGCACATGATCTGAGCCGCTGAGAGTGAACTTGATAGGTTTAACGGCTGGTCCTCCATCTGATACAGTTCTCCCCATCCTACAGCAAGAAACGATTCGAGGTTTCTCATCTATGTTTTCTAGTACCTCAAGCACTCTCTTTTCCAGGATTTCTTCACTCTTTTCTGGTAGACCGTAGATGACCAGATTTTGACTACGATCCTCTTCCTCGGAGGCACTTTTCAGAGCAGCTTTCATTTTCTTAGGCGCTAGCGCCTTGCTGCATGAATTCTTCACAACTGACGACCAGGCTTTGAGTTCGCTTTTCACTGTCGTCTGAACAGAGGTCAAATCTTCACTTTTCTTCTCAAGCAATTGTCCTTGCAGTTTAATCACAGTGTTCTGATCTGCAATCTTTTCGTCCTTCAGTTGGTCGATTTCATTTTGTGGTTTGGTGGCTGAAAACAACAGCGGTGAACAATAACTGTCGAGAATGTTGATAAAAGTTTCCATCCAATCACACAGTATAGCCTTGGTGATCTGAGGCTTGTTGAGCGTTTCTTTACGTAACACATTGGATTTCTGAACACCTGCCGCTTGACGCATATCGTTGAGTAGCATAATCTGAGCACCCAAAATCTGTTCAGCATACATTGATCTGAATTTGAGTGTAGAGTAATTCATCGCTATTTCATTGTCAAGATTCTCCAAGTATTTGTTAACCATGATGTACAATGTACACGCAGGGCCAGTTTAATATACACGAGTATATTATCTGCTACACAGTGAGAGCTGTTTAAACCGACGCAAAAGCAATTAACTGATAAGACTATAAAAAACTAAATCCTCGGACCTTGAGTCTGAACTGTAAGCAAACCAAATTGGCACCTCTACAATATAAAAATTTAAATCTAAAGTAAAATTAGAAATATTTAATAACAAATACATTCTGGTCAGGTGACCCACATAATAGTAGACGAGGTGCACGAAAGAGAGATGTACTCCGACTTCCTCCTCAACATTATGAGGGACATCCTCCCCGTCAGACCCTACCTCCGACTCGTCCTCATGACCGCAGATCCGGACCCTAAAGAGCTTCAGGTTTGGTTTTATCTTTTAGAAGGTAACCAGGTAACCAGGTAACCAGGTAACCCCGTCAGACCCTACCTCCGACTCGTCCTCATGACCGCAGATCCGGACCCTAAAGAGCTTCAGGTTTGGTTTTATCTTTTAGTTTTATTTAATTTTCTATGTTTATTTGTTATATTTGTTTTATCTTAGCATCCGTTCAGGTGTAAAATGATTTTGAGTTGTGCTTGGATTTGTGTAACCCTAAAAAAGGTTGAGACTCAACTTTAAGTATTAATCGGGCAAGATATGATTGATCTTTCAATACTTTGCTTCATATAAATCTTATAAATTCTAAAGATCTTTCTGATTTCTAATTTCGATGCACTTCACACAAACCATTTTCAGAACTATTTCAACAACGCGCCGATAGTGAGTGTTAACAGCAGCTCAGTGGAAGTGCATGCTATGTTCCTGGAGTCCGTTCTCTCGAGCACTCGGTACCACGAGAAGTTCAAATACCAGGTTTATCTTCAGTTACATAGTTCAAATACCAGGTTTATCTTCAGTTACATAGTTGAAATACCAGGTTTATCTTCAGTTACATAGTTCAAATACCAGGTTTATCTTCAGTTACATAGTTCAAATACCAGGTTTATCTTCAGTTACATAGTTCAAATACCAGGTTTATCTTCAGTTACATAGTTCAAATACCAGGTTTATCTTCAGTTACATATTTCAAATAACAGGTTTATCTTCAGTTACATATTTCAAATAACAGGTTTATCTTCAGTTACATATTTCAAATACCAGGTTTATCTTCAGTTACATATTTCAAATACCAGGTTTATCTTCAGTTACATATTTCAAATACCAGGTTTATCTTCAGTTACATATTATTTCTATTTGTGGAAGACTGCGTATATTTTACAAATTACAGGTTTATCTTCAAGTTCAATTATATAGTTCTACGATTAGATGGGATGTTTGCTTATAGTTTTATTTTAGGCTTGACATTTCTGATCAGTGTAATCGCCTTGACTACTAGCCTGATTTAAACTCAATATGTAAAATGTATTATAAACTGTTTAACAATCTCTATCATCTATATTTTATATTTTATAGGAGAACCTGAAGGCGCTGCCCATGTCCACGGAAGAATGCGCGTACAGGACAAGTCTAGATGCTGTCACCAGTATTATCACGTGCAGGATGAAGCAACGTGGACCCACCGTGGAGCAAGGTCGGGAATTAAATATAATTAAATGAAAATATTAAATATTAATTAAATATTTATATTTAATTTAATTTAGTTTATAAACTTTATTATATTTAGTCATTGCTTTGCTTCTTAGGAGCAGTGCTTGAGTTCATATTGCAAGTAGGCACCGTCATTTAACTCTCATTCTCGTTTTTTACAGGTTTGACAGCGCGGATGTCGCAGTTAGGAATGAACAATGACGGGTACCAAGGGGGGCACAACAACAACTTCCAACCCAAATTACCCATGTACCAGGTAATTTATCTGACGGTCCAATTCTTTCAGAGTTATTAGATAAAATGGGCGTTTTCTATCACTGAAAATAACTGTTTTACTTTGGTTGGGGGGGTTGCAACGACCATTAATAGTAGATGGAATTTTGTCAAAACTGACATTGTCATTAATGGTCATTAATGGTCATTAATGGTCATTAATGGTCATTAATGGTCATTAATGGTCATTAAATAATTGAAATTCGTCGCACCAGATAGTGAAAGTGAAGACAAGGATCTTCATGACTTAGTTACTATAAAAAACAAGAAAATGAACAAAAACACCTCTATTACGAAGTTCTGTAATTTTGGTAAGACGATATTTGGAAATAAAAGTCGGAGATCGAAATTTTTTGGTACCGGCTGTTTCGAGGGTTCTGTGCCATACCAACCGGGCTGCAAAAATTCTTCTAAGCCCTGTCAACGTCGAACAATTCGAAAGGGCGACTCATTAAGTGCTACCTTTGTTATGAGCAATTGAAGAAACGCATTGATGGCTGCTACACTAGAATGCTAAGGATGGCACTTAATGTGGATTGGAAGCAGCGAAAAACCAACAAAGAAGTCTATGGCAACCTACCGAGAGCAACCATGAAGATCCAAGAGCGCAGGATGCGACTAGCAGGCCATATCCACCGGCACCCAGAACTAGTCGCAAACCGCTTGCTACTCTGGGAACCAACTCATGGGGTGCGGAGTAGGGGGAGACCAGCCATGACCTATATTGAGAGCCTACGAGCTGACACGGGTCTCAACGACACTGGAGAAATGGGCGGACTTATGGCGGATAGAGTTTTATGGAGACAGCGCATCAAAACTCGGACGCTGAAGCCGCCTTAAGTCAGTAAGTCAGTTTGTTCCAAAAAAGGCTAAACGTCCCCTTCGTTGCCTCGGTACCATTTTATCAATGAGTGTCTCTGCTTCAAAAAAGGGCAACTGCAGATCTAGACGAATTCCTGCCGCATCAATTTGTCCCTATCATGAATCATGATGACAGTGCTCGATTTTGGGTCAAAACTGCCGAAGGCAGAGTATTGAACTGTAAACGAATTGTTCTATCTAATCCTAGGAAAAGATCAGCTTTTTTGTTGTCCGATTCAGACTGATGACGATGTATTTCATGAAGTGCTAAAGTTGAATAAGTTCATCTACTGTGTAATTACTATATAATCGACTAGCATAATGATTTGGCCTAAATATAAATCTTGATATGATATAAGAACGGGAACGAAGTATTTAATTTTAATACCCGTGTTATTATTATTTTATTATTGATTGTTATTTTACTATTGATACGATCTGATACTCCTAAATTGCCCTTTGAATTATTATTATTGATAACTATAATAAGTCACCAACTGTTATCTGGTTTAAATCCCGTGGCCGCAAAATTTGTTCTTCATTACATTCGAACTTAATAAATGTAATCCCTAACTCACTCTGGAATCCACTCAAGTGATATTCTGGAAGGTCTGCCTAACCACGGAAGATTCTATTCTAAGTTTTCTCTTTCGAATCTCTAATTGTAAATGTAAAATAATAACATATACTTGTAGTTAGTTAACTTAAGGTAGGGTCTAAATGATGCAGGCGTCCGTCCTTTTCGCTCTAAGAAGTGCCGGAAAAAACATGACCATTAATGTCAGTAGATGAAATTTTGACAAAACTGACATTGTCATTAATGGTCATTAATGGTCATTAATGGTCATTAATGGTCATTAATGGTCATTAATGGTCGTTGCAACCCCCCCCCCCCCCCCCCCCCCCCCCCCTTTGGTTCACGCTATTTAATTGGTGATGACTGTTTATTGTTTAAATGTTATCCAATTTCCTTATCTCTGCTCATCTGAGAATCCGAATTTGGTTATAGACTATAGCACTCTAATAGCACTCTAATTTAAATTTCTTACACATCTGCATATCACACTGGGTTTTCCAATTTCCTGTTTCTTATTAGCATGACTTCTTTTACCAGGGTAACTACGACGGTAACTATGAAGTAGCACAGAATAATAACATGTACGGGGTTGAGCTTGGAGAGATTCTGGGTATTGGTATGTTCTTTATTCTTCTCTTTACTCTATCTAAACAGTAAACATTCCATTGAATATTTCTTCAAACCTCTTCAGACTGTTCTCATTTTTGCGGGAATTTCGAATCTTTGTTGGGACAAGTAAATACTGTTATGTCCTTAGTTATCCAACTTTAAAGTTGGAACTAAACGTTGGAACTAAAAGTTGGAACTGAACGTTACATTTTCCCTCCAGGTGAACAGACGGACGTACAGGACAGCTGCTCGGAGGTGTGGCTCCACGAGAACATGGACGTTGCCATGGAGACGTGTCTGGAGCAGTTTAACGAGACCACATTTACCCAGATGCAGGGTTATATCCTGAGCGAGAGTGTAGGAGTGGATTACCAGCACACTGCCTCCTTCATGACCGCTCTTATGGTTAGTTTCCTTGTTGTTTACTGAATCTAATTAGCATGATTAATTAATTAACGTAGATTAAATAGATTAATTTAGTAAGACAGGTGTAGCTATTATATGAGAATACTGACAAGGCAGATCGGTTACAAATATGTTCCACTACATATCTTTGACAACATACGAATAATAATTACTGATAATTACTGATGATTACTGATAATTACTGATAATGTCCTCCCTCAGATCTCAGCAAGTAAGGGATCAGTTGAGATGGTAGAAAAACTTCTGAACCTGGGAGCCGACCCTAACGTCAGTGATCTGAGAGGACACAACACCTACAAACATGCCGATGCTCATCCTGCGGTATGCGGAATTTACTAATTTGTATGGTCGTTAACATGGATATTGAATCATGAATGATATTCCAAATTAACGGCACTTGTCCCTTTGATAGTTGGAATGGACGATTTCAGAGTTAAACTAGAGGATCAATATATTAAGGAAGATTAGTTGTAATTACATTTTAATTTGGTTGTGAGAAAGAATAAGACATGGAACCCAAATTATAATAATTTATATTATTACACTTAAAATTGCAGGTGATAACACTGTTGAAAGAGTTTAATTACGAGTTCGTAACGAAGAAATTTGACAACAGCGAAGAGACCAACATAATTACAAATAAAGAGGAGAAAGGCATTTTGGAAACTTACTACAAGGTTTTTATCACTACATTTTTGGTGAATTATCTAATGTTCATCATCTTATTAAAGTAAATAATCTCATCATTTCTTGTCATGTTTGACAAGAGGTTTAATATTGACTTTAATGATGTCAGAGCTGATTTTAGCACGAAAATAAGTGACCTCTTTATAACGCGGTTTTCCTGTACTACGCGATTTTTAAACGTTAAATCTTTCAAATCTTTCATTCCAAAAACCATGTTACAAGAGGGGACTACTGTATTTCATAAGAGTTTGTACGTACTTCTTTCATTACGCAAAAGTATTGAGCTACGGCAACTATCTCATTATTTGTGTATCTAGTCTCTAGCCTAAACCGCGGTCTTTCTGGGTTCGATCATGATATTGTGGACTGGAAACTTGCTAAGTTGCTATAGCTTTTAAGTATCAAACTGCTATTTAAATGTTCAATTGATGCCCGATCTTCACTCATCTAGCGGCATTCAGCTTTAAGACATCCTTCTAACTCTGATTGAATATTTACAGCTGCAATTTGTATAACCTTTAACTATTCATTGACGTCGCCTGGCGGCTGGTAAACTATTAAACTAGGTAATAACGTAACCGCTCAAACCAATATAAACCCTGACAGCGATATCAAGTCTAGTTCTTTTACCCTGGCAGACTTTGGAGAGCCAGCCTTTTGTTTCAGAAATTCTTAAAAATCTAACAGAAAATCAATTCCCTGAATTTAATGATCCCCTGCTCGTGTTGCTAATTACTGTAGACTCACTGACTCGCATTATGCAAACTGCAAAGGGTACCTGCATTCTCCAACTGTGCACTCTTCCAGGAACACAACAACAACAATGGCGAACCTAGCAAGCTAGGATCGAGGGGCCGATCTCCTTTTCTTTTTGCGGTGCGGCCACGGTCCTTCCGGCACAGATTTCCCTGCAGCATATTCGGGACGCAACCCCAGGCATATGTACATGTGTTACTGTTATTTTCGCAGCTCTAATAAGAGCCACTACCATTCACACCATGGTTTGGTGAGTGACGGCTGCCCATCAATTTTGAAATCTTGGCCCAACGGCCAACTGGGATTCGAACTCGCAACGTCAGGGCCAGTAGACAAGCAGATTAACCAACTAAGCCACTGAGTCTTCCAGGAAGTAGGAACCAATGCTGTTGAATTCGCACTAAACGTATTATTCGAATTAAATTCGCATACGAATTTTTTTCTGAAAATTGCCGAACTTAAAAAATATACCAAATACGGGAACAGGAAATCACGTGCCCGCATCAAAATGTTCACGAAAGTTGGCTTTGTATGGTGGAATATTGCCAAAACATGTGCTTCCCGCAACACGTGCGTGGTTACTGGTTAGTGACTAGCGTAGGTACTGACCAAGATCGCAAGGGGTTAAATTTAGATGTTAGATGTTATCATAGTTGGTCAGTACGCACTGTACGAACTTTTAAAAGGTGCCGAACTGTACGAATTTTAAAAAGCTGTCGATGAATTTTTACCGAATTTTAAACCACTTACCACCGACCGATTTGAAAAACCTTAATCATTTGGCTTCGTCAGAGTTTTGTCGGCACTATTTGGGCACTATACAGACAGACAGACACTAGACAGACACACACACACACACACACACACATCTATTGAGATTATTAGTATATATTGGTTATAATATACTAGATTCGTTCGTTAATAATACTCACCGATTATAGCGAGGAAGAAGTCAATAGCAGCGATTATATTTATATAGAGCACATAGTTTTCCCAGCCCAAAACATTTTCAAGTTCAGTGATGTTCAGTCTTGGGATGTAGTGAACAGTGTTACTTGGTAAATTTCATTATAGGAGCGACCCCTGATGTACAGTGGTATAAAAGTCAGTCACAAACCGATTCCGACTATTTGGAGTATAAAATAAAATAAAATCTCGGTTATGTAATTCTCGTTATATAGCACCACGCAGGAGAAAATATCGCGTCTAGACCATCGTAAGTTTGACGCAGTTAAACTAATGGCAAGAATATACCCTCTCACAGGTTGAGATGTATCGGGAGTGGGAATACTATATGTAATTATAATCTGCTTTACAAAGTTGTTGATCTCTTTTAAATTGCACGTTCATCTATAAATGTTCAGAACTAAATTTTCTACTTTTCGATGTGCTGTGCACCTATGGAACGGTTGTTTTAGAAACAGCTTTTCAATTCAATTAAATAACTTTAAAATCTGGTTTATAAAATGCAATCGTTTAATGAGTGCTGTAGCATCAATCCTGATCTCTATGATATATTAGTAGTGATATCGCAAAGAAATCCAATTAAAATCAATGATATTGCGTCAAATGAAAATTATTTTTAGTGGTCGCTTTCTTTGAACAAAATTCTTAATGATTTTAAACCATAAAATAAATCTTGACTCATATCTGATTTCGTGATAAATGATAATAGTACTGGTAGATAAAGAGTATTTTAACCTCGCTAAAAGCACCGGTCGTTTGAAAAGGTACTTATCTATCAAAGGCCTGACATCTGAGTTAATTTAAGACTTAAGTTCTTTCGATTAAATCCAAGTTCGAAAATTTATGAGGCGAATTTTCCCGAACTAATCCCGAACTGAAAAAAGGTGCCGAACTGTACGAATTTTTTACGACTTTTGTACGAACTGACCAACTATGTGTTTAGTGCTCTGTAATCCAAAAGTTTAATTACAGCAACAATTTAGTCGAAGTTTGAATTCTCTATCTACTTCCTACAACCCACTAGCGCTAAAATAAAAAATGACTAAATACGTCAAGCGGGCTCGTCCATTAGCAAGCACCCTGCACCCTCAAATGAGGTATTTTGTAAGTCAAAGGGAAGAAGATTATAGTTTCTAATGTTTGCATCGATGTTTAGTAAAATGGCTTTCTTAAATTAAAAGCCTTCTGTTTTCTCAGACGGTCGCATATTCCCTCTTTCCGGTCCGTGTACATTCTGTATATCACTGGAAATAGCCACGTTTTAATATGTTTATGAAAAGTTGGCCTGGACAAGTCACAAGGTTGGTAGTTCCATTAGGTTCCAGAGGTTCTGCATGCTTTGAAACCGAATTCCACTCTTTATAAGAGCACAGGAAGTTTTTACATAAATAAAGGGATCGCCGATTCATGATGGGACCAGAGAACCAGGTTGCAGCTCGATCTCCAAAAGTGCACAAGGAGCAAACGTATTCTATTGTCACGGCCATTCCACAAAACCTGGGTTTGTCCTCCACATTTAATACAGAAACTGAAAAGGAGCTGTTGAAGGTTAACGTACACCCAAGAAATCGGGTACTCCTTCTTGTGAACCTTCCCTCCTTTTGTCTTCATCTGACTGCTCCTTATTGCCTGTAAAGAATTTATTGTATTCAGAAAATAACTATTGATATCCTTGATAAACAGACACTCGACAAAAGAATTACTTGATACTTGTTGTCTTTTAATATATAATACAGTTTACAGTATGTATGTATAAATGCAAAATAAAGTTTAATCAAAGCATTAAAAATGTGATGATTTTGCTCTTAGAAGCTTACTGACCAATGATCCAAAAAAGCGTCTTTGGCTCTTTCGTTTGGTATTTATGGTCTACACTGTCACTACACTGTTTATACTTTATTTCCGGATCACCACATACATGATACCGATAATTGTCTTTAACCAAACACGAACTATCCCATCTTAGTGACGGTGTTATGGACGAGAGCTCAATAGCTGTCTCTATAACGAGCGGTATGATAGCCGTCCTGGGAACCCTCAGCAACACCCTATCCCTCTCCTACTTCCGCCGTAAAGTCAAATCAAACACTCGCAAACAAGGCTCTTTAACAAGGCGACTATTCATCAACCTGAACATCTGTGATTTCGTGGTCTGTGTTTCGTTTTTTGGGTGCAGTTTGCAGGATCTGATGCCGCCTTATTTTGTGCATGTGCTGATTGTTTGCACTACGATCTGTATGTTGGCCTCTTTTGTTTCAGGGTTCTTGACCTGTGTGTTAGCGGTCACGAGGACTGTCAGTTTGGTAAGACCGCTCCATGTCGTGAAATTCCGTTCAATTGCAGTTGGAATGATAGTTTTTGGGTTGATTTTGTTGGTCATGGTGCCTGCGTACATTGTATGTGATTTTGAGATTTTAAAGGGCTGGAGACATGAGTTTATCTTGGTAACTGTCAGTAGAGCAGTTAATACCGCTTTGCTCTTCGTGATTTTCTTTGTGGTCATAACATCTAACGTGGCCAGCATGGTAAAGATATACCTCTCACAGACCACAAAATCGGTTTGTGAAAAGACCGAGACAAAGACCGAGAAAAAGACCGAGACAAAGACCGAGGAAAAGACCGAGAAAAAGACCGAGGAAAAGACCTTGAGAAGACGCGCAACAGTGACAGTTGGTATTCTGTCTGTATTCTACTGTATGTGTAACATCGGGTTCCTTGTAGATCTGATCTTGAAAACGGGGAACTCCGAGAACCATGTCCCGAAGTTGGTGAGGCTGGTGAATTTTCACGTGCTATTGACACTTAACTCCGCATGCAATCCTGTGGTATATTTCGTGAGGAAAGCTGAAATGAGGATCTACTTGAGGGACGAGTGGAGGAGGATTTCAAGAATCAAGAATAGTGGTTAAGTAAGGGAGCATAACCAGCAATGCTTCCTCAAGAGATGAGCAACTAGGTTAACTTTTAAACCAATGTCTTATTTAAACGGAGTTGATCTGCTCCGGAGTAGAGACCAGAACAAAAGATTACCCAGAAAATATGGATAACGAAGTCCTTGTGTTTCTGCTGCTTATTGATTTTATGCGATTTTTGATGTTTTGATTTACGGTCAACAAAAATAAAGGTCTAGCCAATGCTTCCGTACTCAGTTCAGTATATTTAGACAATATAATCCCTATAATCTGTATTATTACGTTATATCCGCTTATATATCTTACAGAATGTTTACAATATATATGTTTACTATCTATCTTATCAGTGACATCATATCTTCGAGAACGTGTGCTATTGTTTACCTCTCAATTTAATTCACTGCGGACACATTTTTGGATAAAATTACAGTCAAATATGCGTATAACATCGCTGTAAATATATTTAACTTTAATTCTATCCAAAAATGAGTCATCAGAGAATTAATGAATTAATTTGAGAAGTAGGACGACGCGTGATAGAGAAAGATATGTTTTGGTACCGCTAGGTCGACAAAAACTCTTCGGTCATATTCTTATGGTTGGTGGGCTAGACAGTGAAACACGCAAATGTAGTGTATACTTCGGTCATATTGTGTGCTGAGATGAAGGACGATACATTTATCGGAAAAACACACGTGTATAATTAATATACTGGAAAAACACACTACACGTGTTTAATAAATATAAAAATTGTATGACTCTCCTAGCTACTTCTTTGGAGTTGGAAACGTGATCAATGTCACAAAGTTGTAAGTAAGTATAGAATTAAACTAATGACTAGGCAAAACAGATCACATTACTAGGACCATGTTACTAGGACCATCTACAGACCAACTAATAGTTATGACAAGTTCTCTACTCCAGGTTGTGGACAGCAGCAAGGCTGATCTAGATATTATCTTCTACCTGATATCCCTGATCCTAGACTGCCAGCAACCTGACGGCTCTGTGTTGGTCTTCCTTCCTTCTTACGATGACATTACTCGACTCAGGTTAGTTATTCAGCTTCAATTTGCGGAAATTCTCTTAGTGTTGTGAATACCAGTTTCAGGTTTCTATCTCGACAACAATTTCAGGCCTAAACACCCATTGACTGGCCAGTTCCCAATCCACAATCAAAATGTAACTTAAACTTAAACTGAGTTTTAGAATAGAGTTTTTAAGATTCAGCTTACTTTGTGAAAATTCTCACGGCGGTTAAATACAAAATGAACTAAAGGTATTATAGCCGTTCCAACGTTGATTAATCATCAAAATAAATTATAAAGCCTGAATCTTTCAATCTACTGGAAATTTATCAATTTGTTTCCCTTTCGCAGGTCTATGTTGATGCAAGATCAGAATATGCTGCACAAGATTCACATCTTTATGCTACACTCATCCATGCAACCTTTCGAACAGAGAAAAGTCTTCAGAAAGTCCCCGTACGGTATTAGAAAGGTAATGAAAACTTTTGAATCTTTGTATAATTTCAACATAACTGATTATAATTGGAAAGATTAAGTATATTATTGGGATTAATGGAATCGGCTACTTCAGGCTTAATGTGGATTGTAGAAAAGTTAAGAAGGATGAGATATTAAGGCTATCGCATGTTTTTGTTGAGCTAAACCAGATGATAACACCACTATTCACCACCTGCCACCCACTATTCACCGACCACCCACTACAGGTAATATTGTCGACTGGTATAGCGGAAACAGCGCTTACAATCGACGATGTTATGTTCGTTATTGACTCCGGCAGGATTGAGGAACGTGTCTATGATGCTAAAGCAGGTAATATGTTAATCGAAATTATTTTACTAATTTTTATCCATAATCTATTTTAATTATTATTTTTTAAATTAATCAATTAAGTATTTTCATTGATTTCTTGGTTGTTATCTTTAAATAGATGTCACCCTAATCTCTATCAGGACTGAACAAGTACACAACCCGGTGGATCTCTAAGAAGAGTGCTAACTACAGACGTAGTCGTGCTGGTCGCACCAACCCGGGCGTCTGTTACCACCTCTTTAGCAAGGATAGGTGAGTTTGTTACCACCTCTTTAGCAAGGATAGGTGAGTCTGTTACCACCTCTTTAGCAAGGATAGGTGAGTCTGTTGCCACCTCTTTAGCAAGGATAGGTGAGTCTGTTACCACCTCTTTAGCAAGGATAGGTCAGTCTGTTGCCACCTCTTTAGCAAGGATAGGTGAGTCTGTTGCCACCTCTTTAGCAAGGATAGGTGAGTCTGTTACCAGTTACCACCTCTTTAGCAAGGATAGGTGAGTCTGTTACCACCTCTTTAGCAAGGATAGGTGAGTCTGTTGCCACCTCTTTAGCAAGGATAGGTGAGTCTGTTGTCACCTCTTTAGCAAGGATAGGTGAGTCTGTTACCAGTTACCACCTCTTTAGCAAGGATAGGTGAGTCTGTTACCACCTCTTTAGCAAGGATAGGTGAGTCTGTTGCCACCTCTTTAGCAAGGATAGGTGAGTCTGATGTCACCTCTTTAGCAAGGATAGGTGAGTCTGTTACCACCTCTTTAGCAAGGATAGGTGAGTCTGTTACCAGTTACCACCTCTTTAGCAAGGATAGGTGTGTCTGTTACCACCTCTTTAGCAAGGATAGGTGAGTCTGTTGCCACCTCTTTAGCAAGGATAGGTGAGTCTGTTGCCACCTCTTTAGCAAGGAT